AATGCGAAAACCCAAATTTTGCGGGCTATCTCGTATGATATTCGAGGCCCGCACTGGATTCGGCAACCCTGCATTCGGTGACGACATTTGGCATCCCCCGCCATACATTGCAAGCTTCAGTAACACCTCATTTTCATTTATCTCTTTTCCCCTGTCTTTCCCTTCTTGAGCAATTTGCGACCAGGCGCAACTAGGAAATATGAGTTGCGACACATTTTTAACCACCATGCAGTGCACAGTTTAGCGATTCACTATGGGAAAACGGCAATCAATTGAAAAAGGATTGTCGATCCAGAATAAAAGAGGTGCATCATCCTAATATGCATCGCTTTTCATCAGAGAGGGCCCTATTTTAATGCACACGTTTTAGATAAGAAACTCGGCATTTTTGTAGATATAAAACTTTATCGGAATTCACTGGGCTTGTATTGCGTATGCAAATCCAAATATTTCGGCCAATATTGGTTGGCCTTGGTCACTGGACAACTACAATAACCCTATAAGTATGAATCACACTTATAGGGTTATTGTAGTTCATAGTTGTCCAGTGACCAAGGCCAACCAATATTGGCCGAAATATTTGGACTTGCATACGCAATACAATGCCACTGAATTCCGATAAAGTTTTATATGTCCCAGCGGAGGGGTGTACTGCGCCGCGAGGGGAGATCGCCGACCTTTCGCGAACTTGATAGGAGGGTCAGGTCGGCGATCCGGCAAGATTGTAGAGCGGACATTGAAGCTAGGCTCCGTGAGCATGGCAGCAGCTCACTGTACCGTGTGATCCGCCCTATAATCGCCGGAAAGCGTAGCAGTGCCCCTAGTCTTCCTGCCGCTACTCCCGACGAGGTTAATGCGTACTTTGTTGGTGTCGGTGCTCGGATTGCTGATGAGCTGGCCAGCCTGGGGCCCCCGCCCGCTGTCCCGTGTCGCCTGCCGCGTGTGGGCGCCTGCGGCTTCCGCGTGCGCGGCACCACGCTGGCCGGCCTGCGGGAGGTAATGTTCTCCATGAAGCGTTCCGGTGTTTGTGGGCCTGACGGAATTTGTATCCGTATCCTAATCCTATGTTAGTGTTTCCTCTCTGTCGCTACTGTGTCCCGTGCTGCGACCCATTCCAGTTTGGCTGTTGTTGGCCGTACTCACCCATTTTTCGGTTGCGCTCCTCATCCGCCACAACCGTGGGTGAGACGACGTCGGACGAGAGAGGGAGAGAAGTAATAAAAAAAAAACGAAAAAGAGACGGAGGAGACAATGTTGAGGACATTGGCGCCGTTGGGGATGGGGGGTGGGAGACGCGCCACTCGCGGCCCGCCTCTGTTGTCACCGTCGTCCCCTCTCACTGACTGACGTCTGTCCTCTCGTCTCCTCCCTCGCCCTCCCCGCCCTCGCCCCTCCCCACGGACTGCCGCTCCCCAACCCACCTCCGACCCAGCTGGTCTTCACACTCCAGAGGGGCCACTAAACTTTATTAGGGGACCCTAATACCGATTAGTGTTTCCTCTCTGTCGCTACTGTGTCCCGTGCTGCGACCCATTCCAGTTTGACTGTTGTTGGCCGTACTCACCCCATTTTTCGGTTGCGCTCCTCATCCGCCACCAAAAGCCCCAACTGGAACCGACAGGTAATGGTAGGAGATTGGCACACTCAGAGTCTCCTCGTTAAGCTACCAGAAGGACTGGTTCTCGAGAGTAGAAAAAGTGCTATTTGAATGCCGGTGGCCCATCACACAAGGCGCAGTGCTCACCCAACGAATGTCATCCTTCGCAACACTAGGGCAGTGTGAAACGTCGCCCTTCCAACACCAGGGCAGTGTGAATCGACACCCTTCTAACACCAGTGCAGCGTGAATCGACACCCTTCGCAAACACCAAGGAATTGTGTGAATCGACACCCTTCAAACACCAGGGCAGTGTGAATCGATACCCTTCAAACACCAGGGCAGTATGAATCGACACTCTTCGCAAGCACCAGGGCAGTGCGAATCGACGCCCTTTAACACCAGGGCAGTTGGAATGACACCCTTCAAACACCATGACAGTGTGAATCGATACCCTTCGCAACATCAGGGAATTGTGTGAATCGACACCCTTCAAAAAACCAGGGCATTGTGAATCGACACCCTGCAAACACCAGCGCGGAGTGAAACGACATCCTACAAACACCAGGGCAGTGTGAATCGACATCCTTCGCAAACACCAAGGAATTGTGTGAATCGACACCCTTCAAGCACCAGGGCAGTGTGAAACGACACCCTTCAAACACCAGGGCAGTGTGAATCGACCCCTTCAAACACCAGGGCAGTGTGAATAGACACCCTTCGCAAACACCAGTGCAGTGTGAATCGACACCCTTCAAACACCAAGGCAGTGTGAATCGACACCCTTCAAAACCAGGGCAGTGTCAATCGACACCCCTGAAACACCAGGGCAGCTTGACTCGATGGATCTTTTTCTTGTGTTCAACGTGAAGTCGCAAGAGTGTCTTTCGAAATATGTTTTGACGCCATCGGCCCTGTCCTTCTCCACATCATTAACTCGTGCCTTACCAGATGTGAAATCCCTGATTCATGGAAACACTCCCTGGTGCATCCTATTTTCAAGTCCGGAGACCCTTCCTTGCCCTCCAATTACCGTCCTATATCCATAGTTCCCGTCATAGCCAAGATTGTCGAACGTGTGGTGCAGCGACAGCTGTATGCCTATATGTTCGACAATCATCTCCTATCCTCATCCCAACACGGTTTCCGTCCCCACCATTCAACCGAGACCGCTCTGCTCTCTGTTACTAACAGTGTTTTCTCCAACATGGACCGTAGCCACCTTTCCCTCCTGTGCCTCTTGGATCTGAGCAAATGTTTTGACGCTATTCCACACTCTCTGCTCCTTAGCAAACTTCAGCAATATAACATTGACACATCCTGGTTTTCTCCGTATCTCCATGGTCATTCCCAGTCAGTCTCCATCTGCTCTCCTTCCGGCGCCAGAGTGGTCTCAAATCCCCTTCCTATCACCACGGGAGTGTTCCAGGGATCCGTCCTTGGTCCTCTCCTATTCACCATCTTCTCCAACGACCTCAGCCTGCACGCACCGGACGCCCATGTGACTCAGTACGCTGACGACACCCAAATCCTGTTGTCCGATGTCAAAACCAATCTTCCTGACCTCATCCAACGCATGGAATCTACCCTTTCCACCCTGTCTGCTTGGTTCCATGCCCATGGCTTAAAACTCAACGCGTCCAAAACTGAAATCCTTCTCCTCGGCACCCGTCAGAACACCCGTAACCTCCCCCTGTCAGCGTACGGGTCGGTGGTGGGACTGTTCGGGAGAGCCGGACAGTCAAAAACCTTGGCGTGCTGTTTGACCGTCATTTGAGTTGGGACGCACACGTCAGTGACGTGGTTCGCCACTGTACCGGCCTCCTGATCGGTCTCCGCCACCTGAGGCATTTCCTCCCGCAGCACGTACTGAAAACTATTGTTGAGGGGTTGGCAGGGCATATTTTAACAAATTTGTACTGCATCCCAAAGTTGAGCAGAGGGCACGTGCTACGACTAAGGGCACAGGGCAAGGCACAGAGTAGGGCACTGAGAAGGGCAGAAAGTAGGGCACGGCAGGTTACAGGGCATGACACAGGACATTTTAGAGGGAAGGGTACAGGTCAGGGCACACAGCAGGGCACAGGGCAGGGACGCAGTGGGTCAAATCAGCAGGGGCTACGTCCCAAGGCGAGGGGGCTGCGTCCCCGAATGGGACGCAGTAAGTGCCTTAAAATATGCCCTGGGGGTTGGTCATCTCGCGCGTGAGATACTGCATATCTGTTTACGGAAACTGTTCTGCCGATAACTGTGCCAGACTTCTCAAAATTATTAACTTCGCTACAAGAGTTATTACCGGCCTCAAAAAGTACGACCACGTATCTCGCGCGCGGGATGACCTGCGCCTCAAATCGGCCAGTGACATGTACCGGGTCGCAGCGGTGACTGTCGCGCGCGGTGCGATCGTGCGCGGTGAACCGACCGTCCTCGCCTCACTGTTCGCCACGAACGCGGGGTCGCGGGCCAGTGGTGACCGCACCACCCGGAATGACCATCGCCTACGGCCACCGGTTTCGCGCACTGCGGCTGGGCAGCGGGCCTTTTCACACCAAGCGACCGCGCTTTTAAACCAGCTGCCCGCTGCCTTTTAGATCTCGACCCGGACAGTTTTAAGAAAGCAGTAAAGGCGCACTTCTGATGGGGTTCCGAGAGGCTGTTATTGTCGGTGATCTGATTGCGTTTGACGTGTGCATTGAGTGCCTGGTGTGTGCGTGGGTGTGTGATTTCTGACGGTAGATTTTATTCCCATTTTACCCTGATGTATGTTTTCTTTTTAACTCTCTGTGACTAGAGACACAGAATAGCCACGCCCATGTGGAGTTGTCTGCCTTTGTCAATACAATACAATACAATTCAATACAATATATTTACAAACATAAACCTGGGAAAAATATGACTCTAAAACAGCACATCGTCATTTTTATTTAAACTCACCTGAAACGTCCCACCAGAAACACCGACAACCGGAGCAGAATTTTATTTGACAACCAAAGTATGGCTCACCTTTTGACAATGTTTTCACCCCGATTTCTCCTGCCAGTTTTTCTGTAGAGAGGTAGGGTGCAAATGGGAAAGGGTTGCTAATTAGGCACCTTACCCTACTACCACTAACTGATGGCAAGCGGTATTGAATGTGACCGATAAGCGCTCTTAACCTAAACAAACATACCTAATTAGCTAATCCGCAGCCAAAGCGAAAGTTGGAGATCGATTCCTAGACCAACCCACTCGGGTAACCAAAAGTGACTGAGGTGATCGCCGGAAGGAGGACACGGGCTAAATTTTAATGAAGCAACGAACACCGATGTACTTGAAGCTATTTAATGCCTTTCATTTTTTTAGTGCAAATAGGAATGGATGGTTGGTGTTTCTCCAAACCCTACTGCATACACAAAAACAACCACTGAAGCCTGTGTTTATTTATTATTGACCTTCTTGGTATTTGTAGACGGCGCAATACCGTAGACCTGCTTTTAACTTTGATGACATTACGTGAAAGTGTAATAAATGTTAGAGCATCTTGAATAGTTAGGTGCCCTGACCGGGATCATTACATGTATATAAGTGCGCTTTTCTTACTTGATCTTGGCAACATATTTATTCAGAACCTTCTTAAGCCTGCGTGCCAGAATGTTTGAAAGCCACGGCAGAGTTTTGGTGTTGAGGATCTTGTTATCATTCACCCAGTCGCTCATCAGTTTATCTGTAATTAAGCTCATGTCAAACCGATGCAGCGTCATTACATAGCCAATATGACGGGGCACACTGGAAGCGCTTTTTACACAAATGATAAGGTCAAACGCTTCACACAGACGAGTTGCACTGTGTGACAGCAAAATGAGATGCTCTGCTGATGAATTGTTACGGTTAATGTCGTAAGATAGGTACCAATAAACGTGTGTATCTTCTAAAAATAAACGCTTCAAAACACGAGTGCTCTGCGACTGCAGCAAATAACAATGCGAAGGCCAATTACGCCTAAAGATCGCATATGACATAAAGGGAAAAGGTGAGAACCAATAAGAAACGTCAGCGCCAAGCTCTTACGAGTCTGACTTGCGTCTTTCACGAGCGAGAAGTCTTTGCACGCCTTCGCAGATCACCGCACTCGGTGTGAATCCGTCTTCACACGATCAAATTGTAACAGAAGAGGACTGCATAGGAATTTAGTCTCACTGGATAACTGCCGCTGATATTCCGACTCGAAAGCAGATACTGACTCCTTGACTAACTCCTGATGGACGTTGGACACTGGGCATTCCATCAACCGAGCGCTCTTATAGGTAACGCCAGAGTATAGAGATCACCGGGTAGGGTAATAGGGTAACGCGGCCAACGGTAAAGGAGCAGCAAACGGGCGCATATACCTGCAAAATCGGACATAAAAAGTCTTCTTTAGATTTTTAAAATGAGAATAGAAAGGCTGACTTTCACTTACTCAGGAGCTCATTGTCGACCACTGCGACCTGCAGCTTCTCTGCCTTCATGGCCACCTTGACGTCCTCCACCGCCAGGATCTTTGAGTTTCGGAACGAGGCAACCACGGCCAGCTTCAGGTTAACTGTAACGGGGGATAGACACAGGTAGCCAATCAGATGTCTGCTGCGGCGGTGAGCGATTAAGAATTTAATATCATAAGTATTTCGGTCAATTTTTAGGCCAGGTCAAAGGTCAGGCCATCAGACTTCATCAAAGTTCACCTTTTCGCCCAATTCGACACTTGACAAATCGGCGCATAAATTTGGAACGAATGGATCTACATTCTACAGTGCTGTGGAAAAGCTTATGAGATAGCTCTTTTAAAATTCTTTCTGATAGATATGTTAAAGTTTTTGGGTTTGACCTATAGGAAGGTCAACGGTTTGGCTTCCAGAGGCCAAAAGCTGTCAAAATTGGTATTTTTTGTGAAAAAATTTTTTCTGCAATTTTTTTTTCTGCCGCATCGGATTAATTATAGATAAACATTAAAAAAGCTCATCTCGAAAATTTAACTTAATTTAGGTAAAGGTGATACCCTGGCCAGAAAAGGTCATGCCACACAACAGTCTATTTGAATCGTTGACCTTAACACACTTAAGACATTTTCATCGCTCTAAGATGTCTCCACCAAAAGTTATCTAAAAAACTCACGGACATAAAAAGAGGTCACGGGGAAATTTTCCGATTCGATATGCCATTTTTCCGTGGTACCCGATGATTTCCCCCTCCCACAAAAAAACGCAGTTCGATTCTCCTTTTGAGTTATAACGGAAAGGGTGCAAAGTGACCTGATCCTATAAGGTCACGGATATCAAAGTTCCAAGACCCACATTGCATAGATTGCTTCTTTGATCAATGGCTAAAAGTTTCAAAACGATCGTTTAGTCGGTGTAGCTATAGCGAGCATTAAGGTCACTTGGCAAAAGGTCACTGGAGTATGAGGTCACTTGGCGTGACCTGGTGACCTCACGTTCAGCGACATGCGTCTGAACTTTTCACAGGTGCAGAAAAATGCCTGAAAAGGCGTGCAAAAATAAAATAACTCACCGATTCTCAGGTCGATGCCAAAACTGAGACTAAAGGTATCGAATTTTACTTTCAAATCTCCCTTGACATTTAACTTGGGGAAAACGACTGTCATCTTCACATCGTTGCCGTCCAGCCTGAAAGTTAGATAAGATTAAAGTTAGCAGGTAGCTACTAGCTACTAACCACATTCGTAAAAGCATGCAAGCTACCTACCCATGCACACAAAATTGCCCATATCCGTTAGTAAATAGAGACTAGCAACAGAATTGGCAACAAGACGTAAGCACTCATCACTAAGAAAATAAAACAATAACAATGAAATATCGTGTAGTCATCTCGGCGGCCACCAGCTGATAAACTAATTCATTTGTGGATTGTAATTGCGTATTATGGTATCATTCACGAATGATATATGTACAGAGTACAGGTACTCTCCTGCCTATGTGTAGGCTAGGCGTTCATAAACTTCTCAATATATCGTAAATTAAAAGCGATATAAATATCGGAGGGTAAGTGCTCGTGTGGTTTGAAGTTTCCATGATAACTCCCAACATACTTGAATTAATTCCAGTGCCTAGCTAAAGATACAACCTTCCGCACGCTTGAACCGTCTCACGTGACTCTGGGGGTCTACTGTTCGACCCCACAGTTAGATATGGGGAATGGGATGCTGGATATGGGACGGGTAGTCAGTAGGTCAGGTCTCGACAGTTTGCCGAATATGAAAAGGGAGATGCGATTCGATCGCAGGCTATAAGATAAACAAACAGCACTTCCAAACGGATAATCGTATTCCGTTACCGATCGGTTTTCGGCTCTCGAATCACCAACTGAGTGATCTGACCAGATCGAGGATAACTTTATATTATAGGGGGCGAGGGTTGGGAGTCTGTGTGTGTAGGGGGGAGGGCCCGGGGGAGGTGTCTCACAGTCGGTGCCAGGGGTCTCACCGGACATGTCCGATGTGCGCCGAGCCCAGACCGGCCACACTGATGCCGCTGCCGGTGACGCTGAGTGAGCCTTTGGGGTTGGATTTGAAGTGGATACCTGACACGTTCTGCTCCGTGCCGACGCCGCCGTGGTTCAGCTTGGCCACTGCGCCAGTGTCATCAGCAATCACAGTGTGACAGTGCGTAATATCGGTCACAGTGTCACCATCGGCCAGCGTTACCATCGGTCGCAGTGTTGTGTCACCATAGATCAGTGTTACTATCGGTCACAGTGTCTGTCACCATCGGTCACAGTGTCACCATCGGTCACAGTGTCACCATCGGCCAGTGTTACCATCGGTCGCAGTGTTGTGTCACCATAGATCAGTGTTACTATCGGTCACAGTGTCTGTCACCATCGGTCACAGTGTTACCATCGGTCACAGTGTATCACTATCGATCTAAGTGTCACCATCGGTCAGTGTCAGCACGTCGGTCACAGTATCACAATCGGTCACAGTGTCACAATCGGTCACAGTGACATAATATTGGTCACAGTGCTACGATATCGGTCACACTGTAATAATATTAGTCACAATTATATAATATTGATCAGAGTGTCACAATATCTGTTAAAGTGTCACAATCAGTCGCATTGTTACAATCAGTTAAAGTGTCACAATCAGTCACAGTGTTACCATCGGTCACAGTGTTACCATCGGTCACAGCAGTGCCACCATCGATCAGAGTCACATTCGCAGAGGACAGCAACAACGGCATTTCTTCACAGTGTGTTTTTCTAGCGCTTTTCCACGTATGATGCCAACAAGCCTTGCACTGCACTCAACTTAGATGTGAAACTTTCAATGCTAAATAATTTAATCACTGCACCCACTTCCAAATAGGGTAAAAACTTAAAACACAGCGACCCCAGAGGCCAGAGTGCCGGTAGCCGATTATTAACCCTCGCCGGCCGAGGGGGGGGGGGGCGGGTGCCGCCCCCCCCCATAGGGTTTTTTCGCGATAGCTCCGAACACGCTGGCGATAGAGAGCTGAAACTTGGCATACCTGACCTTTGATCCAAGCCGCATCTTTTGACACCAACCGCATTTTTGGGTCAGGTCAGGTCACTGACCTATGACGTCATAAGTGAACCTCTGCACGGTCTTCAGATGTCGCAACTTCGCAACGCCCTCACTGCCAGAGGAGATGTCACAGGGAAATGAAACTTGCAGGATCTAGTATCCATTATGAGTCCCACAACTTGTATATCTCGGATTTTTCCTAAAGGTCATATGAGGTCAGGTCATTTTCGTGACCTCACCATTATAAGTCAATGGGGAAAAATGAAAACTGCTATTCTGGCGCCGGGAACGATCTCCAACTATCTCAAGCACACAGAATCGTGATTTGATGCACTCCTTGCAAGGTTAGATGCGTCACTTTTGCAATGTTGACCTTGCGTGACGTCATTTATGACGTCATCAAGGTCAAATTAGTTTTTCGTCAATAACTCTTGATCAAATTGAGCTAGCGAGTCGGGGAAGGCACCAATGGACTCAGGAAGGCCTGCCGAATCGAATGATATGCGACATGACCTCTTTCGACCAACTTCGTGACCTGGGGGCGCTGACCTGACCTTGACCTGAGGTCAACACCCCAAGTTGACCTGACCCGGACAAAAAGTATATCATTCGACGCGCCTGAGCGAGGTGAACACGATGCTGCCAAAATCGGCGCTCTGCGGCCGTTTTTTGCGAAGTTATTCACCAAAAACTGAACCGTACCTTGGGGCACTTGACCTGACCTCAGAGGTCACCGGTTGACCTAGGACCTTAAAATCGGGTACCAATCTCTGCGTCTCGTAACGGCGCACACGCTCGTTTTTTCCGCGACGCGCTAGCTCCACCAGGGGCGAAACGGCGAGGGGGGGGGGTCGTACCCGCCCCCCCCCCCCTCGGCCGGCGCGTATGTAGAAAACCAATAGGTCCGGCGAGGGTTAAGACTTAGGTATACAAGCATTTTATAAGACGCTTATTGTTCTTTGTTTTCGCACACTTCTATACCCACCTGTAACCAGATATAATCGGCTCAGCCGCAGCATGTCGGAGAATTTATCGGCGAGGCATCGGTCGGCGTGGAGGCCGCCACAACCCAGCCGGTGGCCCAGACTGCTGGGGGAGGGCGCCACTACGGCATCCACTGTCCGGAGAGAGGGGAGGGGCAGAGAGAGAGAGAGAGAGAGAGAGAGAGGGAGAGGGAGAGAGAGGGATGGGAGAGAGAGAGAGAGAGAGAGAGAGAGAGAGAGAGAGAGAGAGAGAGAGAGAGAGAGAGAGAGAGAGAGAGAGAGAGAGAGAGAGAGAGAGAGAGAGAGAGAGAGAGAGAGAGAGAGATAGGCGTAAATAAAACAAACCCTTTTCTTTATGTAATGTCTAACTTGTACCGTGCTTCGTTCTCATGATCAATCGTGCATTTTGTGCGATCAATATAGCAATAGTTTGGCCTACTCATACCGACCTAATCACCAAGAATACAGTGGTGAGTGGCATTCGAAATTTGCATGCATCTCAACAAAGTACAAATACCCCTACCTACGCATGCACAATATGCAAACTTGTATTCTTGTTTGTGTACCTATGGAGGTAGGTAAAACGTATTGTATCACGATCTGAAATTAGGTCTCTCTTTATCGACGTAAATATAGGCAGGTAAACGTCGGAAACTTGATGGAAATTTGAGGTCAAGGTGACTGTTACCGTTGCTTTATTGGGAAAATTTACTAAAAAGTAAAGTTCCGTTTTTGCCACTAAATCTTAGCCTTATATATTCGTATGATACGTTTTCCTGTACGATTTCCTACAGGGCGTGTACTGTGCGTTCAGTGTTCACCGCGCAAAGTGTGTGCTGAGGGCGGGAGGGGGGGGGGAGCTGCTAGCGCGCGCTCGTCTGGTGACGGGTCAGTGGGGTCAGTGTGTGCTGAGGAGAGGAGAGGAAGGAGTTAACACGCGTGCCCGTCTGCTGACCGGCGGTCTGTGTGTTCTGAACGTGGTGAGGAGGGGAGGGAGAAGTTGCGCCTGCAGTCTGCTAACCGGTCAGCGGTCAGTGACCTTTAACCCGCGCCCCACTGGGGTCTGTGTATAACACGCCCTACTGGGGGGGGGGGGGGCTATTCATAGCCCCCCTCCTAACTCCGAAACTACTGGGCCGATCGTCAAAATTCAAACGGCGTCTGATAGCCCCGGAAAAACTGTCGAGCGAAACCTAATTTCATTGACCTCGAGGTTACCGATGACGTCACAGGTCAGGTCAAAGTAAAAATTATTAGCACTTTAGCTTGTTCACATTTTGGGCTCTGGCCGCCGTCTTACAAGTCAGATCAGGCTCATTTTTGGTTTCCACACTCGTGAACAGATGGTCTAGATACCTTGAGGGTACCAAACTTGTACTTTGATTTTCAGGTCAGGGTCAGGTCATCACAGGTCACGAAAATATTATATCATGCGTCGGTCACGTGACACATGTTTTATGGTCCATTTTGGCCATAGATTTCGAATTTGATGTCGTCTGTGTCATTCGAGGTCATTTTGAGTCGAATTTAGCTTAGGTCAGGTCACTTTCAGGTCAAAAAGGTCAAATTTTGAAGTTAAAATTTTTCAACAAAAAAGGTGTCTATTGGATGCAGTTTGAGCTCGGGAACACGATGGTGCCATTTATATTGGTGTACGATGTCAAATACGTACTGAAAAAGTGATTTGAAAAATTAATAATTGTGAATTTTTTGCAATAATGCGTATAACTTGGCCATTTTTTAAGATATTTAGCTAAAACTTGCTAGAGTTAGTCATAATCATGAGTTCTGTCACATTTATTCCGGTTTTTTCGAAAAGTCAAAAACTTTTTGAAAAAATATAAAAGTATAAATTTTGAATATTATTATATAAAATTTTCAAAATTTTCAAAATTTTGAAAATCCGAGATAGCAGTTTGATAGCGCGGTCAATTCTGAGTCCTTTCATGCAAAGAAATTGGATCTAGCTTAAAAACTGAGCTCTTGGGAGCGATTGCCGTGGTTCAATGTTTTGCGTCGAAATCGGACGAACATGACGTCACTCTGACGTCATTTCCGGCCGACCTATGGTAGCTACGAAGTTCAAATTTTGACACAAGGTGTCAACTTGATGCAGCCGAAGGTACTGAAAGTTTGGCGTCGATACGTCAAGCGGTTTGGAAGTTATTGCAGAAAAACGGGAGGGGGGGCTATAAATAGCCCCCCCCCCCCAGTGGGGCGCGGGTTAATGTGTGCTTAGGGGGAGGGGAGGGTGGGGTTAGCTCCTGTACGTCTGCTGACCCGTGACCGGTCAGTGTGGTGACAGGTTCGTACTGACCTCTGGTGCTGGTGACCAATAGAAGCAGTGGCAGCAGCAGCCAGGCCCAACCAATGTGCGCCGCCATACCTAGTCTGCAACACAAGATACGGTGATCTAAACAAGCACTTAACAAGAGCCTGCACCTCCCCTGAAAAAAATAGCACCTTGATGCAGTCGGAAACCACTGGAAACATGACGCTGATTTAGTTTGTAGACAAAATAAGATACTTATTGATGTGGCTGCAATCGACCCAAACGCTTCTGCTCGAATTCACTTTTGAACTTTGTCACGAGTCTGTGTCATCAATATACCTCAAAGAATTGAGAACAACAGGACTCGTGTATTCTCGAGCCACACGCCAAGCAATAACAACCTTTGACCTTGAGCCGCCCGTATTTACTGCACATATATGGCAGCTCAGTGGCAGCCATATTATTACGTCACATCTCCCTTTCCTTACCGCCAAAACAGTAGGCACTACATCCCATCATCGAACAGGAACAGCAAATGAACATAGCTTCTGAACATTGAGCAGTATACGCGAAGACGAGCGTCAGAACACCCAAAACACTGATGCAGAACGGGTAAGCCCAAACAGGGAAAATGCGCACACAACGATAGCACAATTTCCACCGGCATGTAAGCACAAAACCTTTAACTGCGCAAACACACGACATCACAAGTTCCATCGATACCCGATACCCCGCCCCTTTCTCATTTAGTGACGTAGTCAGACAGGTACCCTGGCGGATGAGATTCGCGCGACGATCGGCGGACAGGCGTTGGTACTGCCGAGGGAGCGGGACGGACAGGGATATCAGGTGGCGCTGAAACTGGAGGCGCCAGCAGGGGATCAGGCATATCTGGGACCTGTGGGTCACCTGCCTCATCCGATGAGGGACTCTGGAAAGGGCGTGGCACCTGTTCCCGGGAACGGAAAGCAGGCAAGTTCAGCACCGGTGGGTTACGCGCTGGAGTATTTCGCTCATCACAGTCCACATCAGAGCCCACATCTCCAGCCAGAAGCTGCCGCCGATTCCGGCGGTAAAACACGCCATTCACCTTCACAAGGTACGAGCGGTGGGTCAGTGGCCTCACGCACACACCGAGTGACCATCTAGCCTGTCCGGGCAACCGCATGCGGATGGACTGGCCCGCTTCCAGTGGCTTGAGAGAGTGGGTGCCTCGGTTGTAGTATGTCGCCTGTTTAGCCTTTCGTTGCAGCAATTCGCGCGACACATCTGGGGAGCCGGGTGCCGTGAAATTTGAGCGCACCTGAGGCACGAAAGTTCGAGCAGGGCGACCAAACATGAGTTGTGCCGGAGAGACACCTATACCTTCCGTCGGTACGTTCCGCCAAGCAAGGAGAGCCCACTGTGGGTTTCCGCCCGACTCGAGTGCCTTTTTGAACAAGCGCTTTACCGTGCGAACAGCGTTTTCGGCTTTCCCGTTTGACTGGGGATAGCTCGGGCTCGAAGTGCAGTGAACAATGTCCAAACGATCTGTGTATGCTTTGAATTCTGCACTGGCGTAGCACGGGCCATTATCACTGACAATGGTTTCTGGGATCCCATACCGCGCGAACTGAGCTGACATGGCTTTTATGACATTGGTAGTTGACATTGAAGCCAACCGATCAACTTCGACAAAATTACTGTAGTAGTCAACCAAAACGCTGTATGCTACACCGTTCAGCTCAAACAAGTCAACAGCTATCTTTTGCCAGGGACGATCTGGCAGCTCGTGTGACATCATGGGCTCCCGAGACTGAGCAGGGTGATGTGCCAGGCACACTGTACATTTGAGGATGGTCTCCTTCAAAGCGCTGGTCATACCCAACCAGAAAACACACTCACGCGCAAGTCGAAGGGTTGAAGCGAGTCCAATGTGAGCACGATGCAGCTCAGTTATCACTTCTCGCTGCTGACTGAAAGGAACCACGAGGCGCCGGCCTTTAAAGATCAGTCCGTCTTGCACGGCCAGTTCGTCCCTGAACGGAAAGTAGCCCCTCAGAAGCTCAGGAACGTCTCGGCGATGCGCCGGCCAGCCAGAGCGCAACTGCCTCAGCAGCTGAGACAAAATGGGATCATCGGCGGTAGCTGATCGCAGCTTCATCAGTCTCTGGGGGGAGATCGAAACGCCTTTCGTCAGATCAACGTTTTCAAGTTGCACTGCACACGCCGACTGACTGGTTTCAGGCAGAGCTGCTCGGCTCAGGGTGTCGGCCACAAGCACTAGCGATCCTTTAGTGTACACTATGGTTATGTCATATCGCTGCAGTGCGAGCAGCATGCGCTGAAGCCGAAGAGGAGCATCCCCTAGGGGCTTTGTCATGATGGCCTCGAGCGGCTTATGGTCACTCTGTACTGTGACCGGCCTACCATACACGAACTGATCGAGCCGGGTCATTGCAAACACTATGGCGAGCAGCTCTTTCTCGATCTGAGAGTACGCTTGCTCTGCTGCAGTAAGTGAACGCGAACAATACATGACGGGATGTCCATCCTGAAGCAAAACCGCGCCTAGACCGGCTTTGCTGGCGTCACACTGTACGGTCGCTTCTCGCCTGGGGTCATAGAAGCAGAGGACCGGCGCCGATGTCAGAAGGTCTTTTATGGTTTGGAATGCCTTCTCACATGCCGGACTCCAGAACCAGCCGACATGGCGATGAGTCAGCTGACGTAGGGGATGCAGCACATCGGAAATGTTGGGCACAAACCGAGACAGATATCCCACCATGCCAAGAAATCTTTTGAGCTCGATTACTGATGTCGGGGCAGGAAGATCAGTGATGGCCTGCACTTTGGCAGGATCGGCGTGTAGGCCGCGATCGCTGAGAAGGTGACCCATCCATTTCACCTGACTCACCTTAAATTTGAATTTGTCAGGGTTCAGACGGAGATGACGGGAGCGTGCGCGATCGAGAAATGCCAGAAGGTTCTTATCGTGGTCCAGAGTCGCCTCTGCTCGCGTCTGACCACAGCCATAGATGACAAAGTCGTCCGCAATCACCTCTACACCGGAAAGACCGCTCACCAGTTCATGTATCGTTCGCTGCCACACCTCTGGTGCCGACTTTATACCATACGGGAGGCGTTCCCAGCGATATCTGCCGAAGGGCGTGTGGAAACAGCACAGGTTGGCAGATGCGTCTGACAGTCCTACTTGCCAGAAGGCTCGACTGGCGTCTACAACTGAGAACACCTTGGCACCACTAAGGCGAGAGGTCACTTCATCAAGTGTGGGCGTCGGGTAGTGCTCTCTCTGCACCGCCTCGTTGAGAGACTTGGGGTCTAGACACAGACGAATGTCTCCAGATGGCTTGTCTACAACCACCAGGTTAGAGACCCACGGCGTTGGGCTGGTTACTGGGGTAATCAGACCGTGCTTTGTCAGATCATCAAGCTTTGCCTTCAGCTTATCTCGAACATGTACACGCACGCGACGCGGCGGATCAGCCACCGGACGGACCGTAGGATCAGTGACGATCGCATAATCACTCAGCACACAACCGATCGAAGATGTGTCAAATACATCATGATACTCGCGGAGGACGGCCTCAGCTGTCAGCAAAGATGGCTGCTGTCCGATCATAGTCCCACCCTGTCGCGTGTCTGTGACCGCGGAAGTCGGTGTCGGCACGGCACGGGCGCTGTCGGTTCTACATACATGGGGAACGTAGTCCAATGGGTCGACATCATTGACCTGAAGAAGGCCCAGGTCAATGGATGATGACAGGCTGAGGATCGGGGTGACATCCTGTGCGACTACACGGCACAAAATCACTACACGTCGTTTGTCGGGCCCTTTGTACAGACTTAGCCGGGCTCTCCCCACTGTTGCTACCACAGACCCGTCATACATGCGCAGGTGAGTGACTCTGTTTTGCAAATGCCTGTGGGTGACGTCACCTGACACTCGCTCATATTCGTTGATACCGATAACATTACACTGGGAGCCGGAGTCAACCAGGAATCTGATAGATTCCCCATTGTCGGCGTGCATAGTTTTGTATACCCTGGAGGGGTCCATACCTGTTTCGAAAACAGCGCCCACGATGTATGGGTCTTCATCTTCAGGCGTTTGTACCGCGGCGACTCTAGGCCCACTGCCGTCTGGTGGGCGGCGCCGACCGTCTCCAGACCCGAACTGGCGTTGTCGAGGCGCACGAGCTCCTCCCGCGGCGCCCAGCGCTGCGCCACTGGTTCCAGCCGGTCGTCGCCGTGGGCACGCTATCCCTCCGGAGAAATGATTCTGGCCGCCGCACACGTTGCACGTTTTGCCCCACGCGGGACACTGTGTCCGTCTCATCACATGCACCCGGGCACAAAAGCGGCACTGGGCGCTCACCGTAACGGAAGACGGGGGTGCGACCGGCTGGGACACTGCGCAGACATCATTAGTGTTCTGTTGCAGCTCTTCTGAGCGCGCACCGGCCATACTCTGTTGGTCACGTGTTGACGCCTCTTCGGAGATGGCAATATTTATCGCTTCCTGCAGCGTCAGCTTCGACTGACGAAGAAGAGCGCGCTGTGTCCCCTGGTCGCGCACACCAATGACCAGGCGGTCACGAATCATGTCGTCCACGTCATGAAATTCACAAGTAGCCGCCAGTGAGCGCAGGGCAGCCAGGAAGCTAGCCACACTCTCATCCGGACGCTGTTGCCGGGTGTTGAACGTGAAACGTTCCAAAATGACGTTTCGTCGTGGGTTGCAGTAGGCTTCAAATTCGGCCAGGAGGGCCGGAAGGCCGTCCGCCTCCTGCCACTCAAAATGTGTCGCGATCTCTTGTGCACTGACACCTGCACAATTAAAGAAAGTCCCTAACTGCACCGCCATAGGCTTCGCAGCCAACTCACGGGCCGCAGCATAATACTGCCAGTCTCGGCTCCATCTTGCCCACTCGGCAGCCATATTTGCCGCCCCGAAATTCAACTCGGTTGGCGATCGAAGATTCATAGTGAGAATACAAGTAATGAAGACAATGCCAACCAGGCAAAATATCAACACGATGGGTTCAGTGTACTTCTGACACCATGTCACCAGTCTGTGTCATCAATATACCTCAAAGAATTGAGAACAACAGGACTCGTGTATTCTCGAGCCACACGCCAAGCAATAACAACCTTTGACCTTGAGCCGCCCGTATTTACTGCACATATATGGCAGCTCAGTGGCAGCCATATTATTACGTCACAAACTTGATAGGTATAATAGCTCTAAAGAGATATGCAGACATTTATAGGACAAAAATGCAGAATATGATAAATGCGTAGATACTCAAACCGCAAATAACCAATAATAATAAAAAAAATATAAATAAGCAAATAACCGAAAATAACCGGTGAAATAAATGCCCCGGTTTCGCCGTGCTGGTGACTTATGACTGATGACTGGTGACTGATGACTGGTGACTGGTGACTGGTAACTGGTGACTTGTGAACTGTGACACCGTGACGGTTCTACCTTTTATTGGAATTGTGACGGGTCCAACTTTCCGGGAAAGTATGATCCGCATTCACATTACCGATGAGATGGCAAAGTACGGTCCCATCTTACCGGAGCGATGCCAATACCACCCCCATCTTACCGGAGATATGCATAGTTCGCTCTCAAGTTCTACCGGTGAGATGTTAGAAGTCATGTCCCGTCTTATCAGAGTTGTGGTTCTGTGAGACATGATGAGACTTTACCGGTGAGATGTGGTCCGGTTCCGCTCTACAGATAAGACACCCATTACGTTTCCATCCCACCGGAAATATGAGACCGATCTTAGCATAGTTCTTACCAGTCCCAGCCTATATCTTACCAGTGAGCTGCAGCTCTGTTTTGGTTCGGTCCCATCTTACCAGTAAGCTGTGCTCCGGTCAGGGTAGCCACCGAATGTCACAGTCGATCGGAGGACGTCGACAAAGTGAACTGCATGTGGCGACACGCGACCGTCAGACCATTCAAGCACGGTGTGGTGGCCGTTCGCCCACCGCAGATAGCAAAGGTCAACTTCCCCGGCTGTCAGTTTATTGGTCGACGTTTGACACCTCTTTTTTCACTGTCATCACTTCTCAGGAGCTCCAAATAATGGATGCGCGGGGCGACATGGGTTCTGACTTCTGAATGGTGAATGTCAACTGAATCCTTTCATATACATACAGAGGAGCACTCAACACTCACACAGACAGTATTTCGTACGAATAGGCCTACTCATAGGCGGCGGAACGGGGAGGGCACCGGGGCACCGTGCCCCCCTTTGATTTTGGCATTTTAACATTAGCCCTATGGGCGTTGCATGGAAAGAATAGGACCAAAAGTCGGCAGTGCCCCCCCATTAATTGAAGGTGCTCCGCCGCTACCCTACCTATGTTTTAGGACCTTACGGAGTTAGGCCTATACCATACACCGACACAGCCAGACCAAACCTTTCCACCAAAACTCACACTGACACAGACACTGCGCTGTATTCCAATCCTGCGTCCTACCAGTCGGCAGCCTCTTCATTGTTTTAGCGCTTACTTCTCCCCTGGATGATGATCGAATTATTGCCTCGGAAGCATGCAATTACCGTAATGTTGAAGACCAAGGTATCTTGAAGAAAATAAAAAACTCTACCGTCATTTTCCTACCCTGCTTCAAATGCTGCCATATCACATCTCCGTGCGCCACAGTTGTCTTTTTCAAATGCTACTGTGTTGTGAATGGCAGCATATTGGCATATTTACGTCTGGACAACGAGTTGCGGGGAAAAGTGCTGATTGTGTTGCAGTTTTAGGAGCCGGTGATTAGGCTGGATTTTTGGGTTACTTTTTCGTTCTGATTCATGTATTTCATAGTGTTTGGCTTTTGAATATTTTAGTTCTTTCAGATAAATATTACTTGCCTTACAACTTTTGTAAAAACGTTTCATTTTTTATAAGCCGACGTTCAGAATCCTAAAAATACATCAGCACTACAATCATTGTAAACAAACAAATGGAGCGCACCACTTGGCTCTGTTCCAAGGCCATTTTTTAGTTTATCTGGTGGTTTTCTTGCTCTTGTACGTCGTTTTGTTGGATGTTTTGAATCCCTTAAGATTGACTTATATCATATTTTAGAAGCATGTTGACTGAAAACAATCTGAAGTATCCAGGAGGCTGACAGAGGTCCTGACTACTGAGCAGTGACGTACCCAAGGGGGGGGCCACGGGGGCCATGGCCCCCTCCTGAGCGCCGAAGGCGCTCAGGGGGCCCCTCAGGCCCCGGTATATTTTTTCAAACACTGGATAAAACGTCTTTTACTAGGAAGAAAAAATTATATTAAAGTTTCATTTATGTGCCCCTGGTTACCCGAGGGGCCCCTGATGACCCGATGGGCCCCTGCAGTCATCCGAGGGCCCCGGTTTCCTGGCCCCTGGTCGCCTAGGGAGCCCCTGGTAGCCGGGGCCTGGTCGCATGGGGCCCCTGATTGCCTGGGGTCCCTAGTCGCCTAGGGGGCCCTGGTAGCCGGGGGGCCTGGTCGCATGGGGGCCTCTGGTCGCATGGGGCCCCTGATAGCCTGGGGCCCCTGGTAGCGGGGCCTGGTCGCATGGGGCCCCTGGTTGCCTGGGGCCCCTGGTCGCCTGGGCGGCCTGGGGGCCCCGGGTGACCTAAGGGCCCCTTCGGAAGCAGGTGGCCCCCTCCTGGGCGAAATCCTGGGTACGTGCCTGCTACTGAGCAATATCAATATCAAGTTGAACAAGTTATGAAATTTTGGTTGATAAACGCAAGTTGATCGGGCTCATATATCAGCAAGAAAAAGTAAAATTAAAAGAGCTTATTGTCCAAAAACAAGCTATAATATTGCAGACCTTGGAGCAATACTGAAGAGCACGCTGAGCAGGATCATGCCTGAAAATGTTTACTGATGAGCGCATATTGATGTATTGGTATGAATATTGAATGATAACTACAACAGCAAGATAAATTAGTGCTAACTATCAAGTTAAAATCTAGAATGAATGGACTTGGGCAGTTTTACTATGCTTAGATGCTATGCAGATTGTAATGTGCATCAGGTACTCAGTGTCTGGCAAATGAAACATGCGATCATTCCATTGCTACTGGAGGAGAAAGCTTGGATCACTAGATCCACTTTATGTTGATTATGATGTTAATCATCATCACTATATTTCTTGAAAAAAGGATTGTAGTAAAATTGTCAATGTGACAATCCATGCAACGATGTGATCATATTATGTGTTCATAGTCATTCGTGATAGTCATTATTGGTCCAATATACAATGGCAAAGCTCTCAGTCTCAGCGTTTCTTCCTGTGGATGGCCAGCAGTGACTCAGAGCTTAGAAGTATTAGTTTTCTTCACAGGGCTGGGATAAAAAGTACTGAGGGTAATCTTCCACCAAGGAACTCTACTTTGACATGGTATGAGATGTAGGCACAAGTAGTTAGGTGCTCAGTTCCTATAGTCAGTACTCAGTAGTTGTGTATGTTTAGTCGGGTTAGCTTAGATCAGATTGTTAGTTTTTCAATTTGCCAAATGTCCATAAAAATGTGACTGAGCAATGAGCATACCTGAACCTGACTATCCTGACAGCTGACCTAACCTCAATCATCACACATATTTGCAGCCTACCCAAGACCTGCATGGCAGTAGCACCCAGTTATAGGTAGGTACTCACCCTAACTCAATCTTACCTGCTAACCTTCAACTTGCCAAAAGTTAGCTCACATTGCCAAGCTGTGTCCAGGGAAACAGTCAACTGAGGAACTGGCTCATTGGGTGGCTGGTGTGAGTCTGTGCATTTAAAGTGTTTCTTCTCTGAAGCTGCTCTGCACTGCTGTATGTCATGTTAGATGCTCAGAAAATGTGGGAAATGATTACTAAGCTACTTTAGTGCTTTGTTAATGCTTGAGACATGAACAAGTAGATCCTGCAGGGTACAGCTATGAGTTAGGTGCTAGGTGAGTATGTTATGTGAATGTGCTGTTCCCTGTTTGACCGTAAGTATACAAACAAGCACAGGGTCACAGTTATATTCAATCTCCACATAAACATACAACAAAAACGGCCATATAGCCTAACTCCGAACACACCACAGGTAACTTAAGCCTTTGAAGGCACAAAAATGTTTTGATTAACAGGACAGGTTTACAATATATCCTCCGTCCTTGGGGGATCTTGCTGCCAAGTTGAGGTATGATGACTGAACTTCAGGATTGATCAACCTTTTCTTAGCCACTGCTTATATACGAGAAAGACCAAATGCTTGTTTGTTTTGATTTACAGGACATGTATACAATATATCCTCTGTCCTTGGGGGATCTTGCTGCGAAGTTGAGGTACGATGACTGAACTTCAGGATTGATCAACCTTTTCTTAGCCACTGCTTATAAACGAGAAAGACCAAATGCTTGTTTGTAAACTGCGTTGAAAGTTTAATGATCCACCTTCAATTCTGACATGAAGGCACAAATGAAATAGTTCCCTCTCCTTTTGGAATACACAAAGCAAAATATTTAATAAATTTTAGTGGATGGACAAGAGCAATTAGCATAGCTTTCCCTCAAGTTAACTTCTGGCACTGTTGATGAATTACACTGACGCTTATTCGCTTCATATTTTGTAACAAACGCGCTAAAACTGCAATATCACAGCACTATATGCTTCTTGACAAAATGCAATAATATTGAAAATTTAGCCCTGATGGCATTCATTCTTGGTGGAAACGTAATTACAAAATATTTTGTAGTAACTATTGAATTCCGGCCGAAAACAGTGCACGGTTTAAAAAAGAATCATTCCAATGACGGTCCATTCTTGCGGTCCTGAAATCGCCACTATTTCCGGCCTCTCCAACGCAACTCGTTGTCCAGACGTAAATATGCCTGTGTGAAGCGTTGATTGAAAATGTTTTGTGATGGGAGTGGTTCGCTCTTTGAACTTTTCATTGTGATTTTCTGATAAATGTGATTCGAATTTAGTGCTGAATGTCTATTATAGTTCAGCGATATATTCCTGCTCCCTCATATTGTGACAGTCTAGGGAACTCCAAAGGAGTAGGCGAAGCAGGGAGACTTCAAGACCGCCTTCCACCCGAGCTGCGGCGATGAGGTTGGCATTTTCTCAGCAGAATAGTTGCTAAGAGTAACCATATAGGAACATGCAATAGTTAATAAATAGTTAAGTGCTGCATCTGAGGGACTTGCACAATAAGTAATGCTATTGTGTTATGTGCCCATTAATAAGCCTTCATTCTTCTCAAGTTTGACCCGCTTCAGCTTCAAAGTATTACGAGCCAATGTATATGGTACAGTCCTGATATAGGCTAAGGCTATGCTAGGCTGAACTCCCTATCTTGCTTTATGTCAATATATTCAGGTGATACCTAACCTGTGGACTTGAAGCAGGTTAGGTATCTCATTTGCATCTCATTTGCAAAAGCCCAGCAGTTACCAATCAGCATGGCACTGTTATCTCTCCCTGGTTACAACCTATTTACCAACTTTGATCCAAACGAGAGCCATCTGGGGTCAAAGGGTACTCGCGGTGTCTGTATATATGTGATAGACAGCATCCATGCTACTGAGGTAACATTTACCAGGCCCACATTGACAGAGCATCTGTGGATCAACATCTCTCTGAAGGGTAATGATAGGCTGATCATGGGCTGTGTCTATCGGAGTCCGTCCCAGGACCCTAAGCAGAGCATTGATGAGCTTGCTGGTCTTTTTCAGTCCGTCATTGATTCAAAACCGTCTCACGTGCTGATCTGTGGGGATTTTAATATTCCACAGATCAACTGGGCACTCAACTTTTGTGCAGCACCAGAATCCCATTACGCTCACAAGTTTCTTGGCTCCATTCATGATTGTCTACTATTCCAGCATGTTTTGGCACCCACTAGGTACAGAGAAGGGGAGTCGCCTAGCCTGCTAGACCTCCTATTCACTAACGAGGAGGGGATGCTGTCTAGCCTCGAGTACTTACCAGGTCTGGGTAAGAGTGACCACATAGTAATGAGATTCAATCTCAAGTGCTACAGTACCCGTTCCGAGAATGTACAGGAAAGGTTAAACTTTCACAGAGCCAACTTTGGACAACTCCAGGAGATGATAGCTGAGGCAAACTGGGAATGTCTGGCTTCACTGGACATTGAGGCAGGGTACCAGTATTTTAGGAATTCTCTGACCTCTTTTGTTACTGCCACTGTTCCCACTGCTAGAAGTTCCAAATCGAGGAAAAATATCTACATGACGAGCCATGCCCTTAGGTTGAGGAAAGAAAAACACAGTCTTTGGCGCACATACACGTCCACTAAGGATCCATTGGACTTGGCTAGATTTAGAGTCTGCAGAAATAAGCTTCGAGTCCTCACACGCAAACTCCGTAGAGACTTCGAAACTCAATTGGCTACCGATTTGAAAGAGAATCCGAAGGCCTTCTGGAGGTATACTAACTCGAGACTTAAAACAAAGACAGGTATAGGGGACCTTCGAAATGGCTCAGGAGATCTGATGAGTGATGATAAGGCGAAGGCTGACATTCTAAATGCGCAGTTTGGCAGTGTTTTTACACAAGAACGGCTCACAGACATTCCAACCCTTGCCAGCGCCAGCACTACTCCAGAGGTAACCGATATCCGAATCACACCGGAGGCCATTGAACAAAAGTTACAGGCCCTCAACCCGTCCAGTGCTCCTGGACCAGATAACATACACCCAAAGGTGTTACGGGAGGCACGCCGCGCTCTGAGCCGACCTCTTTCGCTACTTTTCCGGAGATCTCTGGACTTGGGCATGGTTCCGCGGGACTGGACACTGGGGAGGATAGTACCTATATTTAAGAAAGGGAACAGACAGGACCCTGGCAACTATCGGCCGGTCAGCCTTACCTCTGTTGTCTGTAAAATACTGGAATCCCTCATCAGAGACACAATCTATCAGCACTTCTCAGAGAACCACCTGTGGGCAGACTGCCAGCATGGCTTCCGGCCAAAGCGCTCCTGCAGCACCCAGCTGGTCAAAGTGCTTGATGACTGGAGCAGGGCCCTAGAGAATCATAAGCCTGTCGATGTAATGTACCTGGACTTCCAGAAGGCTTTCGACTCCGTTCCTCACCAACGACTCCTCTATAAACTCAGGAGTCACGGGGTGAGCGGCAAGCTGATCACATGGATCGGGGCTTTCCTGAGAGCCAGGAGACAGCAGGTAGTGATTAATGGTCAGTCATCTGACTGGTCGGAGGTGGTCAGCGGGGTACCCCAAGGCTCGGTCCTGGGTCCACTACTGTTCTTGATTTTCATTAATGACATGCCTGAGGTTGTTGGTTCCTCGCTGACGATGTTCGCGGACGACACGAAGCTGTACTCCACGGTAGCCTCTACTCTCGCTGCGTCTAGCCTCCAGTCTGACCTCGAGGCTCTGGTCAACTGGGCGGACGCCTGGCAACTCCCCTTCAATGAGGCGAAGTGTAAGGTCATGCACCTCGGACGAAACAACCCAGCAAAGCAGTATGTGATGAGAGACTCTGAGATGAGCGTCGTGCGGGTGGAGAAGGATCTGGGCGTGCAAGTCGATGACGAGCTGAAGTTCAGACAACATGCTTCAGCAGCCGTAGCCAAGGCCAACCAGATTCTCGCTGTGATTCGTCGCTCATTCGTGCTGATAAACGAGTGCACGCTGCCGCTGCTTTACAAGTCCCTGGTGCGCCCGCACCTCGAGTACGGCAACCTCGTGTGGGGCCCTTTCAACAGGGCGGACCAGAAGCTGGTGGAGAGGGTACAGCGCAGAGCTACGCGCATGGTGGCCAACCTTCGCCACCTGCCCTACCAAGAGAGGCTCAGGGCTCTGAAACTTCCATCGCTGTACTACCGACGCAAACGGGGCGACATGATATTCACCTACCAGTTGTTCCATGGAGGGGTTGATGTTGAAGTCACGGATCTCTTCTGCCCCGCCACGGGTGCCGTTACACGAGGTCACCCACACAAGCTCCGCAAGCCAGAGGCGGTCAGCAGACTGAGGAGAGCTGCATTCGCAGTCAGGGCCGTGAACGACTGGAACGGCCTACCTGCTCAAGTGGTCAGTGCCCCCACCGTGGACTCGTTCAAGGCGAGACTCGATGCCCACTGGGGACATCACTGGTATCATATACCAGACACGGATTAACAAATGGCAAAAGGGACAGGAGCTCGGTTAGAACGGGACCTCAAGGCCGAGTTGGCCTTTATTATGCCCGAACACCGTAAGGTAAGGTAAGGTTGAAGATTCCCGGGTTTAAGGTACTACCTACCTATGGCAGGAAACCGCACCAGCAATAGGGATGAATTTGTGCCTGCCCGCATGCCAATCTTTTGGATCTTTAGTGACTCACTAAAGAAATGTTGATAACATGCTAAAGAGATTGGAGGATTGTGTTTTGCGAAGCATGCAAATTATGTGAAAAGGGCTGATTGCCCATTAGCTGCACTCTATACTGGGCTTATTATGCATGGCAATATTGGTCCTGGTCAGTGTTTTGAGTTTGCATAACTTTTAACTCAGTACTGAGCTAGGATGCATGCAAAATCAGCTGCCGATCTCAATTCCATTCCATTCCACAGCATTTACAACCTTACACAGACTGATAAGGAATATTGTGCACCTTAGAGATCTCATTGGAATGCTTTCCTATTTCCTACATTGTAGGTAATTTAACATTTCTAAAAAAATGTGTATTTTTCTCCACTATAATGACATTTAACTAAGTCAAAAACAATTTTTGCCTTTCAATGTCTACCTAGAAGTTCGTCTTTGGATTGCTAGGAGCTTACTTTTTAGTCATACTTTTGCACTAAAATTCAGGCAAGAGAAGGGATAATAGTAAACATATCTTGTCATATCTAGATTTCTTGTATTAAGAATTAGTGTGAATTGCTTAAGAGCTGTAATCACATTGTTCACAAATCATCACATATCATCACAAATCATCACAAATCACAATGTCATGGGAGCAAAAAGTCTGGCACAGTGCTTACTTGATATAGGAATGACAACCAAAACAGGACATATAATCAACATTTTTTATTGAGGACAGAGGAACTGCAACACTTGTGGGCCCAATTAAACTGAATAGTATTGGGAGACGTCCAAGCACTAACTATGAAAGTGCAGAGACTGAATCGAATAGGTGATCTTATCCTAGGAACAGGACCTGGGAACCTAAGTCAGACAGTCCAAAATCGCCAAGAATATTGAGAACAAAAATTGCAAGTTGATCGCCCCAGTGGTTACTGAGATGAAAGCTTCTCAAGGCGTTACCTACCGCGAATGGTGGCCGGTCGGCCACTCAAACTCGGCTTTCCGTTCATCTACGAACGACTTTGCGATTCGCTCGCTCGTAATCATATTTGACGATCTATCGAACACCGATATAATTTGCCGTTTGTCACTATGTGATCGAATATCGCTACATTTATCGATACGATCTGAAGCAAAGGGATCATTCTTGGTGTGAAAACATTGCTTTCGATGCTCCACGATCGAAACCACCGCCACAGCCAGGTCAATGCTTTCTTGCAAATGATATTGTAGTTAGCGCCCAATAGGCAACAAACACAATAAATGATAATTTTACATGGCACGACACGCCACCCAAGTGGCCGTAGGGTCCATACTGGTCACCTCTGGCTTTTGATGGTGATCTCCACTTCTCTGCTGGCTTTTAGAGTAAGCTCCTTCTCACTGCGTGAAGGGTATTTCAGGTGAGAGATTCTCGCTAATAGCCGTCATGGAGCAGCGCCGGAAAGCCACTGTATCTCTGATATCCTCAATAATCCATATTCACTCTGATAGTGCCATAATCTGTCTTTCAGTCAAACTAATGGAGCAGAACACCGTTAACCTGTGTGAATCCCTGTCCCGCAGCAATGAACTATAAACTCCCCACGGCCGAGTTATCTGACTGACGATGTGGTGTTCCCTGCAGTCTGGAGGACCGGGTTCGCGACCCGGACCGGCGCGGCCGGCTGCAGCAGCTCGAGAGCGACCTCACCAACCCGCGCTCGGTGCTCAATGTCGACTGTCTGCTGGACTCGGTACAGGCCCTGGTCGCCGACAGCGACCACCCGGCCATCAAACGCATCAAAAACATCGACTCATTCCTCAACCGGTGCGTACGGACGATCGCGGTCATGACAATGACTACTTACTGGGCAGTGGATATACTTTTGGGATTACAAATTATAAGTGTTCTGTATTTTATTTTATTTTTTTTTTTGTAGAAAGGTGGTTGAAGGTGTTTTTTATTGGTGCTTCTTGGGCTCACGTATTATGTAAATGTAAACGTTTTCCTTGGTGTCTTTAGATTAGATTAAATCATGTAACGATGTCTTTGCAGTGTACCTACTTTTTTTCTCACGGAGGAAGATAGTCGATATTTACTTCCTTGATACATACATTACATACATCATTTTCGACATTTAAACTTTCTATATTCGAGGAAAAGGTCATTCGTTTTGAGTTATTATCAGAGTCTGATCACGCACTCTGTCACGTCTGACTCTGGCTCTGACTCTGATCACGCACTCTGTCACGTTTGACTCTTGCTCTGACTCTGACTACGCGCTCTGTCCCGTCTCAGGTACTCGTCAGCGGCGCACACGATCGAGAGTCGCCGGATGCGAGCCGTGGACTTTTCGCTGATCAAAGTGATCGGGCGGGGAGCGTTCGGCGAGGTTCAGCTGGTACGTGGCCCTCCGTCAGCTCGGGCGAGAGTGGGCGCCGGGCGGTTAGGAATGTGGGTGGGAAGCAGATCGGTACTACACTAGTTGGCACTGACGGAATGATTAGACTATTTTGCATTGTATCCGTGGTATGATGTAATTAAGTTGTCTTTTTGTGAGATGATTTTGTTGGCGCTTATTTGTTGGTGTGTTGCTATTCAGTTATGTCGTTTCGTTTGGATTTTTTGGTAATACGTTTGCCGGCTACGGGTGTGGCCCCCATCGGTACCTCTTCTCTGACCCCTTCACTCCCGAGCTGTGCACCGGCGCCAGTGTAGTCCGATGGAGAGTGAGGGAGCGGCGGGCGGTGTACCGCTCCCCGCCGCTCGGAGTTCGGTTACCTCCCCTCCCCTCCCCTCTGCACACTGACGTGCCGGCGGCCGGCGAGTCATGCTGTCGGCCTGACACCCCACCCCTTCCCCCGCCTCTCCAGGTACGACACAACTCGACTCGGCAGGTGTACGCCATGAAGCTGCTCAGCAAATACGAGATGGTCAGTATCGCACGCGGACGATGAGCAGGATCGGGCTGGGAATATTGGGTTGGAGTAGGCCCGGCCAACCGTGTTAGATTAGGCTAGGTCGGACCGGGTCTTACGGAGCACGGGGTTGTGGCAATGCTGACTCATTGTTGGGGCTACTGGGCAGACGGGGTCGGAGAGTGGGTGGAGGAGGGGAGGGGTTCTGAGGGGAACGCTAGCCGGACAGGGCTGACATATGTCAAACGTGCCGGACGACCGGCCCTCGGCTGACCCCTGACCCATACAGGGGGTGTGTTGTCGGCTGACTAATGTGACACATTAGTCAGCTAGCTAGCTAGGTTAGGTATACACAAAGGTGTGTATACCTAACCCCGTGTTTGCTGACGTGATTTAATGAACGTACAAACCCGCTGCTTTTGTAGACCACGAAGTTCGCGAATCGCGATCAAATCACGGTCTATAATCTAGGGCTGCCAGAGCAGGCCGGACAAATACACTTCGTACTGGGTCAGGCCTGGATGGGTTGACGGAGGGGCTGGGGAGGCCAGACTTCAGTAATTGACCGTTCTTGAGCTCCTTAGCCGGATAGTGACCGTCCTCTGCCCTTTTGATAGTCCTTTGGCCGTTCCCTGGCCTCCCTGGCCATTCGTCGATCGAACCCCCGTTCAGTTACTGCCCCCTGAGTGTCCAGTCTTCGTCTCACGGTGCCCATGCCCCGTTGCCAGATCAAGCGGTCGGACAGCGCCTTCTTCTGGGAGGAGCGTGACATCATGGCGCACGCCAACTCGGACTGGATCGTCAAGCTGCACTACGCGTTCCAGGACGGCCGCTACCTCTACATGGTCATGGATTACATGCCTGGTGAGTCGTCGGCCCGCAGTCGCCGGCCAATGCCAGCTGTTAGTTGTCTCATAGTTAACAGGCTAGGGTTAACGGGCGATGGTCCGTGAGTGTTAGAGGTTCACATTCATACCTCACAGTATACATGCACCATACAGCCTAGAGTTCATGTCACTGTCCATGGCTTACAGTTAAAACGGTTGACAGCCATCAGGTTCAAAGTCTGCAGACAACAATCTACCGCCCACTCTAGTCGTCTCACAGTGTACAGACCGTGTCTTGATATGACTATAGTTGAACGGCGTGTCGAGCTCCTGTAAGAAGCAGACGCTCAGTAGAGCTGCTCTAGTACGAGCACGGCTGATGCGACCAATTGCTTGGGGTGGGCCATGTGTGTGTCTCAACACAGCTTTCTTGTTATCTTTCATTATTCAGGAAGTGTGGCAGGTCGACCAGGCCCCACCCGAACTAAAGAACTTTTTCCGACCCTGTTTGATAACAACGAGCTAGTGGTGGTGCTAAACCATCGCGGCTTACCGGGCAACGATAAGATTGCGTCGTTCGCCGCGATAGGGGTGATAACTTGTGTTTACAATGAGTGTTGTTCGCATGCTAAAAATGGCAGCGACTAGTCTTGGTTTCGCTTACTAGTTTGTTTGTTTTGGCTCATGTGCTAGGGTGAATTCAGACGGATATCTGCATTATTCGAGCCTTCTTAACCCAAAACTGACAGACCACTGGTTGTTCTCGAATACGCTACTTCGAAAGTATGGCTGGGCGGGGTGGGGTGGGGGAGGCGACTAAAGCTGACATGCTGACATAACACTATGGTCTCAAGGCTCAAGCACGACGCACTTGGTCCGGTTGTAGTGCGACGTCGGATTAGAGACACCGGTCACGGAGAGCTCCGCCTGTAGCTGTCGTCCATCGATGATCCTATTTGCGCTCACTGTTCACTGAGCGCTGTGCCCATGTGCTGTGCACTGTCTCCGCTGTCCTCTGTTGATCCATCACTGTTCCTACCGTTCACCGCCCGTTCGTCTGTGTGTTCCCGCAGGCGGTGATCTAGTCAACCTGATGTCCAACTACGACGTACCGGAGAAGTGGGCGCGCTTCTACACCGCCGAGGTGGTGCTGGCGCTCGATGCCATCCACTCCATGGGATTCGTACACCGGTGAGGGAGAGACGGCACCGTGCTGTTCCATACCCGTCACTGGTCGCATTAGCCCTCCGTCACTGGACATATCAGTTATCACCTGTACGTCACTGGTTCATCTGACCCGTCACTGACCGTGACTACTGGGTTACGGGTTAGCTCATTGGTGCGTTATTTACTCCCCTCCCCTCGGTATGACTCTGGTAGTTCATCGGCGCCCAACCCTCTCTGGTGGGCCTACTTTATGAGTGACCTTATGACACCCCCCCCCCCTTCTCCGCGGCTTTACAGGGACGTGAAGCCGGACAACATGCTGCTCGACCAGCACGGACACCTGAAGCTGGCCGACTTCGGAACGTGCATGAAGATGGACAAGGTAACAGTATCCTACTCGACGGACACCTAGCTCATTAGCCACCCTTCTTCCTTGTATGTGAATAACCGGTGGTAAAATGGAAAACGATATCCTCTGTACGGTTGTCGTGAGACTAAGACAGACCTACACAATGTTTTTGTTGGCACCGATTCCCAGTTTTAGGCCCCGTTTCGGCTCAAAGGTGGGCTGTTGCGGACAAAGCTATCTGCTGTACATATTACCGCGGCGCAATAAAATGTCTTCTACCGCCGACGACCCCAAAAACTCTGTCTCATCATACAGAGCCGTAATGCGACACCACGCTTTTCCACACGCCCGGCTGACTGAAGCTAGGACACCTCTGCTGACCTTAGACCGATGTCTTACGCCGTAACGGATGCTAATTTCTGTCGCTGAAAGTCGGTTCTACAGTATGCTGTGTGCAGTTTGGTGTGCCGTGCGTATGCTTTTGACCGGGATACAGCCCTGCCACTGCGTTGTGCACTGTACAGTCGTTTGTTGTGATGCGTGGGTTGTTATGCAGTGAAGTATGTCCGTTTCGGTCTGTGTTGGTTGCAGCAGTGTTGTCAGCAGTCGCGCCGGTGTGTTAACCTTTGACCCGGAGTTGCGGCCTGCGTCACACTCTACCTGCCACACAATACGGGGATCGGGACATGGCGCGACTCGCACGTGTATAATACGGCTGTCAGTGAGCGGGATACAGTTCGGCGAAACGGTCCAGCGTGACGTTATTACATCAGTCACGCACCGGCCGCTGTATCTGGGGATTGCAACGGGGGGGGGGGGGGGGGGATTCGGTCGGGGCCGTGGCTGACGGTGTAATGGTTTGTGGAGGATCTTCTGACTTCTCGATTTTGGAGATTTTCTTAGGAACATGAGCACCTGATTACGGCATATGGTTATTGAACATCTGCCCACGTTTTATATACGGTCTGTGCCTATGGGAAGCGGCTACTCGTACATAGCGGCAGACCTCGTTATGAACGGGTCTTTAGGCGTATTAGACCCACCCTGGAAGCAGTGAGTAATGGTCTGGGTGATGGTAAATGGTCTTATGCGTCTGTATCGCGACGAAACTGATGTGCCTGGACAGAATTGTTTCGATAGATCTCTGTCCCGTGTACCTTCCAGCTGTCCTCTCTCCATCACAGCGCTTTAGTAACACTCCCTCGCCGTCCCCCAGGACGGCCTGGTGCGCTCGGACACTGCGGTCGGCACGCCCGACTACATCTCCCCGGAGGTGCTCAAGTCGCAGGGCGGTGACGGCGTGTACGGCCGCGAGTGCGACTGGTGGTCGGTCGGCGTCGTCCTCTACGAAATGCTGGTCGGAGACACGCCATTCTATGCAGAGAGTCTGGTGGGCACCTACGGCAAGATCATGGACCACAAGAACGCACTCCAGTTCCCCGACGACGTGGAGCTCACCAACGACGCCAAAAACCTGATCTGCGGCTTCCTCACGGACAGGTGAGTGGCCGTGAGGAAGGGAAGGACAAGGGTTTTGGGCGGGCTATCAGCTTACCGCCTCCGCAGCATATGGGTGATACCAGTACCACCGCTGGTGGGGCCAACTAGTGCTTCTTTGCCAGCTGCTCCGCTGATCATTGTGTGGGTCTGGTGTGAATTGAGTGCTCTGGTTGAACTCCGTTCCCGCTGACCTGACCCGACCCGACCTGACGTCACCGCAGGAGTCAGCGCCTGGGTCGGGACGGCGTGGCCGAAATCAAGGCGCACCGGTTCTTCCTGGACGATAACTGGACCTACGATACCATCCGGGAGTGTAAGTAGGATGTGATACGATCCGGGACTGTAAGTATTGGACGTACGATGCGATCTGGGATTATAGGTAGTAAGGCTTACAATGCGATCTGGGAGTGTAAATAGTAGGACTTACGATGCGATCCGAGAGTAAGCGCAAGTGTGGAGGGAGAGTAAACTGTCAACTATTTTGTGAGAAACTAGAGAGCTGGCTGGGGGTCTGAAAGGGCCAGGTTCCTGAGGACTGCTCTCGTTCTCAGGGTACTCGCGATGACTGCTTTCTCCCTTCGGCGTTCCCCCCCCCCCCCGTCCGTGGAGGTACTACCCGAGCTGACTCTCCTCCGACTCTCCTTCCACCAGGCCCGCCGCCCAAGGTGCCAGAGCTGGCCGGCGACGACGACACGAGCAACTTTGACGACGTGGAGACGGAGGACACTCAACAGGAGGACTTTCCGACCCCGAAGGCGTTCGCCGGCAACCACCTGCCGTTCGTGGGCTTCACCTACTCGCAGGATTACCAGTAAGGAGACAGGGGGGGGGGGGCGGGGGACGGTGGCTTGTGTCGTGATATGCATTAGACATATTGTCAATTGCCTTTGAGCCGTTGTTCTACATCAAAAAATGAACTGATTGATGGTTGTTCCACTTTAGCGCATTGTCGATGCCGCACTAGTGACTATCCAAGAGTATGATAGACGCGGTGTTTTGATCACTGTCCTATCGTCGTCCGACGGACGGTAGGGTATTAACGATTATTTCATTGTCTAACAGGGAGCACCGATATGCTGATCACCGTCCATTGTAGTCAATGACAGTACACTGATGACCGGCCATGTCTATGACGGACAGGTAGCGTTGTACTGACTCGATGACCGTTCCATTGCAGGCTGCTTGGAGGTGGCGGTGCGCGGACGGCCCAGCAGGACCACGTGAGTAGCCGAGCGGCCGAGAAGACGGGAGCCACCCCCCCCCCCCCCCCACGGCCGGCCGGTACCAGGCTGGATGGCTCGGTACATCCTGTATCATACCAGTGTGCGAGCGTTTCCACTAACTTCTTGATCAACTTCACTCACCTAATTATGTATCTTTTTCTCTCATGGTTGATAATAACATTTCTTCTACATTCTGTAGGTTATTTGCCATTAGAGAAGCCATCTGTGCTCTTTTGATCATCTGCTGTGATCTTTGAGAGCATTCCAATGTTCCACCGCCGCTCGAGCCATGCTCTGCATGGCTGACTGGCCGCTCCTTTTCGCTCGTGTATATGCTGCTTTGGCTAGTCCATCGTCCAACGCTCAGTCAGCTGTTCAGTCTGTGCTATGCACGATTGCTAACGTTTGTCTCCTTTTCTTTCTCTTTTTCTCTCTTTCTTTTTCTTTCTCGTGGAATATGGCGGCATCTCTCCATCGATGATCGTGACGACTTCGCTCACTGATTCGCTCTCAGGTGGACGGTGTAAGTAAATGATAACTGCCCCCCCCCCCCTTGCTTACGCTGACATACGCGAGATAAAACGAAATCAACGCCTTGTGTGGGGTAGCGCAAAACTTGCACAATATACTCGCACACACACACACACACACACACACACACACACGTGCTCTGTTCTGGGATAACACGGACACGCACTTTGTGATTCAGGGTAACGTTCTCATCTGGGTCAGCGCAGGTTTCTTCTTCCGTCCGAATCGGGTTGGGAGTTGGGACTATCACTAAATTAGTCACCTAAGAACGGCTGACCATATCTCAGACTGCTTGCATTTGGCTTCATGATGGTTGTTGGCGTTACAGGCTCGTGTTTTGTTTCGTCCGGATACGAGTCTGTCGCTGTCAGCCGGCTGGTTTGCTGTCTGGCAATGTTATTAGCTGCTTATCCGCCCCATGCTACTTCAGTCGTTTGAATTTTACTGGCACCCTCCATATACACATCGCCGCTTGCTTCAGTGTTGTCAACGCCTTCCACTCCTTTTTCGTGTTTTGTCCATCAGTTAGGAACTGTCCCTTCCCGTCCCTGTCCCCCGATCACTGACGCGTGTTTCGGCCGGCGGCAGGGCCACGGTTCTGTGGAGCGCGAGCGTCAGGCGCGCGCCGAGGCCGAGCACAAGTACCGCGTGACTCTGACTCAGCTGGAGGCTCTGACCGACCACGAGTCACGACTCAGAGAGGAGAAGGCGGATGTGGAGCGGCGACTCGCCTCCACCATGCACGACCTCAAAGAGGTGGGTAGGGCGCCGGGTGGACGGGTCATGAACGGTTATCTGTTAGACGGACGGGAAATGTGGTGATGTTGGTAACACTGGGAAGGGGTGCCGGACCGAGCCATGTGGGACGGTGTCGAGCCGTGTCTTGTGTTAGTGCTGGCGTGGGTAGATTGACGTCAGGTTATTGAAGTTGATAAGCCAATGCTGATTTGTTTTTTGACTGACGCCGGCCTATGAACCGTATGTTGGTCCTTCAGCTGTAGGCTGGTGTAGCTGTGGGCTCAAAGATGCTCTCAAACTGTAAGTCTTTGGAGAGTCACTGCCCCCGGTCCGTCCCATCCCCCCGTTCTTCAGGCGGGCCGGAAGGCCGACCTGGAGCTGGACACCCGCCGGAAGCTGGAGCAGAAGGTGGCAGAGCTGCAGCGTCTGGTCGAGGAGGAGCAGAGCCGGCGGACCCGGGACGCCATGTCCTCCAACATCAACTCGGAGCGCAGCCAGGCCCTCGAGAAGCAGCTCAACGAGCTCAACGACAAGCTGAAGGCGGAGACGGACGCCGGCCTGCGGCTCAAGAAGCAGCTGACCGAGAAGGGCGCGCTGCTGGCCGCTCAGGAGCAGACTGTCCGCGAGCTCACCGAGAGGTCAGTGGTGGTGGGGAGCTTACAGAGAGGTCAGTACGGGTGGAGAGCTCACGGGGAGGTCAGTGGGAGGTCATCATAGGCAGAGGGCTGACAGATTGGTCACGGGAGGGTCACGAACTTCACTGGTACACCAGTGAGGTGTCTGCAAGCTATTAGCGCGCATACTGTGTGCTGGATGTCGGTTCAATGGACCCTGGCTCGGATTATTTCCTTCCTAACAGTTTTTTTTTTACCCTGCACACAGGTTATCCAGTGTGCAGAATGTGCGTAACGGCCTGGAGACGGAGCTGCTGGCCACACAGGAGCGGCTCGCGCAGGAGAAGGCCAAGAGCGCTCAGGCTAACGAGCTCAGCCAGGACCTCGAGCGTGAGTACCAGGGGACGCCGGGATCCCGCGGGCTGTCAAATATGCTGAGCTACGGCAACTGCACGAGTCAAACCGTTTTCATGCATATCGCGTCCCTTTGATATATTCTGTTGTAAACCCAGTGTCTTTTTATCTGCACGGCTGTGCGTCAGTATACCTCAGTACCGGGCAGTTACTGTCATCAAAAATTGCATTCACTATAATGGCGTAAGTAATTCCACGGCGAGAGAAATGTGTTCGAATATTTGCTGATTTACCCCTGTGCTGCTCGTCTGACCGCTGCCGTGGCGCGTTGCAGGCCGGCGGGCGGCGGCGCAGGCCGAGGCCGACCGTCTGGCGGAGCGCGAGGCGGCGCTGCAGGCGGACGCGCGCCTCCAGGCCGACCGGCACGTGGAGCTGGAAAAACAGACGGCCTCACTGCAGCTGGAGCTGCGGGCGCTCAGTGCCAAGTACGAGCAGGAGTCGCGGTCACTGCGCGAGCTGCGCCAGCGGCGCACCGCCAACCAGCAGGAGGCCAACGTCGAGCTGGTCAAGTGTGAGTGACGCGGCGTGGCGGGACAGGGGAGCGGGGGACTGTGATATGAATGCGGTGGATCCGCGGGTCCGCATCAGTATGTTGTTCGAGCATATGTTTCACGCTCTGGTAAAATGATTGTAACTATTATTATTATTATTATAATTAGCATTAACATCTCTTGCGTATTTTAGTGTTAGTGAGTTAAATGCTCTTTGAACTTCTTTACCCGTCTACTGTGAAGATATTATTACAGCCTTGGTAGGAGTTGTCTCGCGCCTGGCTGTGGTCTGATCGGGTCGATGTCTGCCTCTGTTGCGCTGTCCTCTCCCGTCCCTCTGTTCCTGTCTCGCTAACTCCTCCCCTCTCCGCCGTCTATAGCCCAACTGAACGAGGAGCGGGTGGCCAGGCAGCGCGCCGAGGGCACCCTCCAGGAGCGAGAGCGGCAGATGTCCATGTTGAACGTGGACTACAAGAACATCCAGCACCGGCTGCAGAAGCTGGAGGGCGAGTACCGCCAGGAGGTGGAAAAGGTACGGACCGGGGAAAGGGGCTGCGAGCATTACCCCAACGCAGAACGAATTAGGGTACTGCAGTGTTGTTTTGAGCTGAGACAGCTGTTATGTGAGGTGACCCTGGGAACTGGTGGATAAGTGCTGGATAAGTACTGCCGGTGAATTTTTTTGCCCGGCTGTGGTCGACGCCTTGCAGACGCTGGCTAGTCTTGTTATTAGAGTGTTGTACCAGCCTGCGCTAGCGTTGTTAGCAGAATATTGGGATAACGCTGGCCCTGCTAGCATAATACTGCGATAGCGATGGTCTTAATTAGTACACGAGTGTTGTGCCGGCACTGACCCCCCCCCCTCTCTCTCTCTCTCTCTCTCTCTCTCTCTCTCTCTCTCTCTCTCTCTCTCTCTCTCTCTCTCTCTCTCTCTCTCTCTCTCTCTCTCTCTCTCTCTCTCTCTTTTTCGTGCAGGTGAAGGCGCTGAACGTGCAGGTGGAGCAGGAGGCGCAGAAGCGCTCTTTCCTGCAGAACGACTTCACGATGCAGTCGTCCCAGATGTCGCTGCTGCAGTCGCGGGTGACGCAACTGCAGCGTGAGCTGACCGAGGCTCGGCAGGCGCGGGCCGAGCTGCTGGAGCAGCTGCAGCGGCTGCGCGCCACCCGGCAGGTGGACGAGCTGCAGACCAAGGAGCTGGCCGACCAGCTGGAGGCCGAACAGTACTTCACGGTCAGTGACTAACTCCGGCACCGGGGACAAACTGTGACTCGCACCCGGCCGGGGGTTAGGGTAAGGTCAGTGGTCGCACCCAGCCCGAGCGTAAACTGTGGCTCACACCCATCCTGGGGTTAGGGTAAGGCCAGTGGTCGCACCCTAGCCCCTGGGGATAAGGTCAGACACTGCCCACATCGGCCCCGGGGTAAGGTCGCTGTGGCTGTCCGTGGCCACGCTATTTAGCGATGGAATCTGAGCTAATTTGCCTCTCACTTACAGAACTGCCTTTCTTTCTCCGTGATCCTTGTCCAATTTTCACAGTAGTTCGTTAGGTTTGATAATAGTTTTGTTGACAGTACCTGAGGCCTTGTGCTCGCTTTACACTGATCGCGTTTCCCCCTCCCCCGGCCCGCTTAGGCGCTGTACAAGACGCAGTCCCAGGAGCTGCGGGACGAGCTGGACGAAAAGACCCGGCTCTGCGGCGAGCTGGACGAGGAGCGCACCAGCCTGGCGCACCAGCTACAGATCGCCCTCTCCCGCGCCGACTCCGAGGCGCTGGCCCGCTCCGTCGACCAGGAGACCATCGCCGAACTCGAGAAGGTCGGTGGCGCGCCTCAGGCTGTGGCGAGAAGGCTTCAGCTTGACCATATTAGGGCTGGAGATAATTCGATAGTGACCGGGCCGGGGCTAGTTTGATCATGACAGGATTGTGGTTGCTCTTATTATTGTGACGAGTCTGGCCTAAACGTGATGAGACTGCCGTGATTGTGACTGACCTGAGGATGGTCAACTCATAATGGGTTGGCTTGACCAAGTCATGAATGGATGGTCAATGATTGGCCCTTTGGTTGGACTTATTATCACTGAGCTGTTGGTTGAATTCGGAACATGCCGGGACACCGTTATTTTCTTCACCGACGGGCCTGACCCTGTATTATGTCTGCGCGCAGGAGAAGACGGTGCAGAGTCTGGAGGTGCGGGAGCTGCGGAACGAAATGAACAACAAGGAGCGCTCCGTGACCCTGGCCAAAGACAAGGAGAATGAGTACATCCGATCGCTGGACCAGCTGCGCACTCACAACGACGAGCTGCAGCGGCGCGTCGAGAAACTCGAGCTCGGTGAGCGGACGACGTCGTGATGGGAGGGGACGGGACGGGTCGAGATGGGACAAGACAGGTTGAGACAGGACGGGGTTGAGATTATATCGAATAGGAGAGAGGCCGCACAGGACAGCGGGGTTCGACATCAAATGGAATAAGATTTGACTAAACGGGGCAGTTCCTGCATGACGAGATAGGTTGATGAGCAGAGTAGAGCTGGAATCGACGGGGTGGAACGGACGGTAATACTGACGTACATGTAGACTGCATACGCGAATGTGTGTGTGTGTTTCCGTACGAATGCCGCTTCTGCCGGCTGTTTCTGCCGCAGAGCACCGTTCGCCGCCTGTTTGTGTTTGTGTGTCTGTGTATGACGTCTTTCCCCTCTGTTTGTGCCGCAGAGCGTCGCTCTCCGCCGCCGGACGTAGCCTCCGAGGAGCTGGAGCGGCTCCGAAAACAGGTCAAACAGGAGCAGCTGCTCAAAATGCAGGCCGTCAACAAACTCGCCGAGATCATGAACCGCAAGGACATCAACTTCGGCGGCCGCGGCAGCAAGTCGGCGCCCAAGAGCTCTGCCGAGCTGCGGAAGAAGGAGAAGGAGTGCCGCCGGCTGCAGCAGGAGCTGACTCAGGTACGGAGCCGCATGCTCTGTCGGCCGGCCCATGTCCGGCGTGGTAGACCTAGATTGTAGGGTTACTAGAATAATTAGTAGCAGGGAAGGGTATGGACAAGTTGATATTTGACCAGTGCGACGATGGCAGGATGACTTGACCCGCGGATGTCATTGACATTTGACCCCTCACATTCGGTGGCATTAGGACCTCGATGTATTTCCAGAGACGTGACAGCCGATGTCTTGTAAAGCTTGTCAGTCTCTCTATCATATCACCCGTGTCTCTTGTCGGCCAATGTAGTGTCTGACCTCTGTCTCTCTGCGTTCCGACAGGAGCGTGAGAACTTTAACCAGACGGTGGCGCGCTTCAAGGAGGACCAACAGGAGACGCAGGCCATGATGGCAGAGGAGCTGCAGAACATGAACAAGCTGCAGGTGAGACTGCCGCCGGGCGAGCGGGGCCGACGAACGCGCACTGACAGACCGTACGGTGTGCTGGCATCGCACCGGGCACTGAGTGACCGCCGAACCTTACAGCGCTGAAAATCCCGAGAGCTTCACAGGACAGCGCTCGCCATTCTCCATTTTTTTTTCTTAACAAATAGACGCTTGTAGCTTTCCTCACTCTTATTCATTCTTGTTCTTATTTGGGATATTGCTTTCTCGATTTATTCGTCTCTCCAGCATTTTCCCCAAGTGTCCGAATTTTACAAGTGTCGCATTCTTTAAAAGTGCCTATTCCAGCGGCCTGGTAGACTCAGCACACTTTCGATTCGTTAACTAAAGTGGAGAGTCTCTGACCGGTACCCCTGTCTTTGACCCGCACCTGCGCCTCTGACCCGTACCCGCTCCCCGTCAGATGGAGCTGGACAGCAAGGACAGCGAGATCGAACAGCTGCGTCAGAAGCTGGCCATGGTCAACTCGGAGACGGCCAGTCTCAACAGCGGTGCCGACCTCGAGAACGCCGACGGAGACGGTAAGAGGGAGGGGTAGGGGGTTCTCACTGGGAGGGGGGAGACGGCCAGTCTCAACAGCGGCGCCGACCTCGAGAACGCCGACGGAGACGGTACGAGGGAAGGGGTAGGGGGTGCTCACTGGGAGGGGGGAGACGGCCAGTCTGAACAGCGGTGCCGACCTCGAGAACGCCGACGGAGACGGTAAGAGGGAAGGGGTAGGGGGAGGGGTGCTTACTGGGAGGGGGGAGACGGCCAGTCTCAACAGCGGCGCCGACCTCGAGAACGCCGACGGAGACGGTACGGGGGACGGGGGGGGGGGGGGGCGCTCACCGGGGAGAGGGGCTCAGGGTGTGAGGGAGACCGGAGAGACTGTGTGGGAATAGTCAAAAGGTTGACTCAGCGTTAGGAGGGCTGACTCAGTCTGACCTGACTTGCCCCACAGATTCGCGGCTGGAGGGCTGGCTCTCTGTACCCAACAAGCAGAACATCCGGCGGCATGGCTGGCGCAAACAGTACGTGGTGGTGTCGTCCAAGAAGATCATCTTTTACGGCAGCGAGTCGGAGCGGGAGCGGACCGACCCGGTGATGGTGCTCGACCTCAGGTCAGTAATCGTTCCTGGTTTCCGGCCACTGGTCACAGGTCACGGGTGGGGCCCCGTGGGGCAGCTGCAGCTGAAGGTTGTTGATGTTGACAGCCTGTATTGCAGGTGCAACGTCGTTTAGTGCCTATCCGGGTACTGGGTGACCTCAGCTATCATGAATTAGGATACGGTCAGCATTATTACGAGGGGCGTTCAAAAAGTTCTCGGCCCGACCATGAAGGAGCAGAGATACGACGTCGACTCATTAGACCAAAAATGTTCATTTAGTCAAATAACCAGCGTTAAGACAAAAATATTTCGCGCAGCGCTTCGCGAGAGGCCCCTGGGTCTCCATAGCCAAGTGGGTTTTGGACGCATCTGGCACGTCCAAGACGGCTGCTTTTGTCTCCTTGCTGTCAGCGAAGTTGCCACTGCTAAGCAATTTCTTTATGTTGGGGAAGAGGTGGCAACCTTAGGGTGCAAGGTACGAAGAAAAAAGTGGCTGCGACAACAACTCGAAGCCACAGCTCACTGCTTTGCTGATCGTCACCCTGCTCATGTGTGCTGGTGCGTGGTCCTGGATCAGGCGCACACTTTTAGTCAGCTTCCCTAGTCTCTCCTTGATATCTGCTGCTCGCTACTGTTATCGAAGGGAGGTGTGCATTCATCATTAATTGTGCGCCCCTGTTTTAGAAAGTTAACGAGCAGAGCCCCGCCATCATCCAAAAATGCAACCACTGTCACCTTGCCGTCTGACTTTAACACGTCGCACACATTTGGTGGCCTTTACTCAGTGTGCTTCCACTTTTGCAACTCGGTCACGCCCTGAGGGTCAATGTGTGACACCCACAATCCCTCCACGGTAACAAGTATTTCAATGAACTCTTTTGGATCTTCGATATAGGGGCCAAAATTTTCGCGTTACGCCTCCTTTCGAGTTTGCCTTTCCTCTGCAGTCAGCAAACGGGGGATGCATCTTGCAGAGATCTTTAACATATTAATTAATACGCTGTCGAAGAATGGCTTTGAGGGACCTGATACACAACTCCGCTTCTGCTGCGTTGTTTCAGACCAGAACATTTGTCACTTTTCACAAAGAAGTGCTTATTTTTCATATTTTCTTAAGTCAATGCTGTTGATGGCTGGCCACTGCGGGGGTGACCATTAATGATCTGTTGACCAAAATTGAACAAAGATGCCCACTTTTTGACGCTACTGTAAGAAAGACAAACCTCAACATGTGTTGGCACTAGCTTTTCGTGAATAACGTTTGGTGCATTTTTCTGCAATACATGAACCAAATCACTGTTCTATTCTGGGCGTCACCCATTCTGACCGGGAATAGCAAACTATGTTACGATTAATTAGCAGCCTGAGCCAATCACAGGGCAGATTGGTTAATGGCTACGTAAGTGGACATCCCAATAACACATCATTGAACACACCGCGTTGCAGGCCGAAATTCCAACTCCTTCATGGTTGGGCCGAGAACTTTTTGAACGCCCCTCGTACACGCCTGTAAGTTTTACCGGCTCAGTTTGTGTTGGGGATACTGTTGAGCTCGTGTTTTATTCGTGAACTGAGACTTGCTATACATATTTCACGCTCTGACCACGCATGTTCTTTGATTACGTATGACCGCTGTGTTTCATGGGTGTTCTGATTACGTATATCACTGTTTCAGTAAACTGTTCCACGTACGGCCGGTGACTCAGGGCGATGTGATGCGCGCAGACCCGCGAGACATCCCGCGAGTCTTCCAGGTGAGCTCGGCACGGGACTGACATCTGTCAGAGATGCCCCATAGGGTCCTTGTGTTAGCTGCTGGTGGAACGCTACTGTTTACGCCAGACGCCTTGAGACCCTAATTTTTCGCGATTATTTTTAAATGCGTGGAAGAATTTCAACCAAGCTCAGGACATGGCCGTTTCAAGACCTGCCGAAACTTTTACAATTTAGATATTTTATCGCCATTTTAATATTTCAGGCACTTGTCATTGACTCGTAATGTTAAATTTCGAGCAAGATTTTCACCGGTGTGTAGAGGCTATCACCAGTCAGTCTGTGATACGTTATGACGTCACAGCTAAGCCCCGCCTCTGTGGTCTTGGCCTGCGGCGGTTTCGGGCCGGCGCGCGGTCACTCTCGCTGTGGCGGGGAGCGGGGACGGTCGAGCGGTGCCGGAAGCCGGCGGAGTTGTGCGTAACGTCTTGTCTGGCAGTGCCCAAAGAGCGACATGATGACTGAGGAGCCATAAATGCTCAATGCGCATTGCTTGTACAATGCTGATATGTTCGCTGATATTTGTTTTCTTTTTTATAAGCTGCAAATGACGGGCAGATAGCATATACCTAACTTACATAAGGTTAGGAAATATTCACCTATATTTAAAGCCCATGGCGTTGCAGATAATGCGATAATGGGATGTCGGATGTCACCAAGTAGCTGTCGATTTGTACATCGCTATGCAACCATCGAACAATTAAATATTAAGTTAATTGCCTTTGCTTCACATCATAAGGCTCGCTCGTATTTCAAACAGTATTTACCCTACATCGAAAATGGTATTTGTTAGGAATCGTTACCGTTTGTTCGAAGCGTGTGAGTAGTAGGTTGAGGAGTGATGGTCCTCTTGGTCCTATATACAAGAGTCAACAAGAGCCTATTTACTTGACCGTCTGCTGCAATTGATTCATAGCACGTGAAGCGTCAGCGAAATTCTTAGTCCTTTACAGATGGCAGGGGTGTCGTTTGTACAGAGGTCGCTGATGGGCACGGGTCAATGCCGCAGTCGTGGGCGGAGCCTAATGTCATGACGTAGAAAGCCTCTATCCAGGATGGAAAAACAGTTAACATTACGAGTCAATGACAAGTGCCACAAATATTTGAGTGACGACAAAATGTATTTGAAGAAAAAGTTTCGGCAGGCCTTGAAACAGCTACTTCCTAAATATGGTTGAAATTATTCCACGCATTTAAAAATAATCGCGAAAAATTAGGGTCTCAAGGGGTCTGGCGTTAATAGTAGGTGATGCCAATGCTGCTTAGTGTAATAACTCCCACATTGTGGTCACCTTGTGGCGTGAATTTTTGTCTCACAAGGATGTGTTATTCGTCGTAGTACGAAGTCTCTCTCAGTGCATGTGCTATATGACCGTCACTCCACATTCCACAGTGAACCTTGAAGCATCGATTGTGAGGCTCTACTTCACTAATATGTGACCATGTGCCAGACCTTGCTAGTATTACATACTGTTATGTCGACTTGTTGTGTTCCGGTGCTCCGTGCTACCCTCGGCGTGGGTTGGTCCAGCCGGTGGACCCTGTTTGCGTCTGTTGGACTCTATGGGTCTGCTGTGGGTCTGATGGACCCGCTGTGGGACTGTGGGTCTGTTGTCCTCGCCGTGGGTCTGTTGTGGGTCCGCTGCTGGTCTGGCGGCCGGTGCAGTCACTGTTACACTCTCACTGACCGGATACCGTGTACGCCCGCTCTGGTTCCCCCGGCTCAGGTCCTGCCCTCCGACGCGGCCGGCATGTGTCCCACCGAGGTATTTGGTGTCCGCGCATGATCGCTTCAGTTCTGCTGGAGCGTTGTCTCTTTTCTTTTGTTATTCTGTAATGTATCACTACCAGCATACACTTCTAAAACAAGCTTTATTTTTCCTTTTCCATTTAAAGTTGAAACGTGTCAAGCGTCTTGACTGGATACTCGACACGGGACGGTTCGAGCTAAATGGCTGCTAATAAATGGCGTCGGCTGATGCCGACTGCCGCTGCCATTTTCTGTTGCGGCCGATGCGTATTGATGTACGTGACACTACCGTCCCTGACTGTAGCATGTTCACGAGACTGGACGTGCCTGTGTCTGCGGCTACTGTCTGTGTCTGTGCCTACCGCCGTGCCGGTGTCTGCGCGCCTGCTGTCCGCATCTGTTTGCCTGTTGTCCGGAACTGTGCCCACTGTCTATCTGTGCGTCTATTGCAGCTTCCACTGGTGTCTGTGTGCCTTTTGTCGTTGCTGCGCCTGCGATTGATGTGTGCCGATCGCCGACCGCGTAAGAATGCCACTGCGCCCGCCTTACGAGAAATGGAGTTCAGCCCACATTTCCCCCACCGAAAGCATAGTATGAACAATGAGGCGTGATGAGGTCCATGATTCAGCCGACCCAGACAGATCTGCCCTTCCCATCACTGTCTTCTGTCGTTCCAGCTTGTCCAAAAACGTGTCTTGCACCACCGTCACCATCTCCTTCGCTGTGTAACATGGCCCGCTCGCAGAAGTTCTGCTCCCCTTCTTTTGTCGGCAGCTTCCACCCCTCTTCCGTCTGACCGTCTGACCGCTTCCCTTCTTACCCCTCCCCCCGTCTGACCTCACCCCCTTTGTCCCGGCCGTCGACAGCTGCTGTACGCCGGCGAGGGCTCGCGCCACCGGCGGGACGACGGCACGGCGGTCACCGAGGCGCCCGCCGTGGCCGAAAAACCCGGCCAGATGGTCCACAAGGGGCACAACTTTGTGCAGATCAGCTTCCACATGCCAGCGGCGTGCGACGCCTGCTCACGGCCGCTGTGGCACATGTTCAAACCGCCGCCGGCGCTGGAGTGTGAACGTGAGTGGCCTTAGTGGGAATGTGGGAGAGGAGGTGGTGTGGTTACAGGGTGAAGCTGTCATGACTGACCCGCCGTCTGCCTGGAGTTTACACACTGACCGTCTTCCTCCTCTACAGGCTGTCACATGCGGATGCACAGGGAGCACCTGGACAAAAACGAGACATCCACCGTGGCGCCGTGTAAGCTCAACTTCGACTCCCGTACGGCCAAGGAGCTGCTGCTGCTGGCGCCGTCGCTGGAGGAGCAGAAGCACTGGGTGATGCTGCTGGGCAAGAGGATACAGAAGTGTGGCTACAAGGCTAACCAGGCGGCCAGCGACGGCAGCAAGGTGTCTCCCAGGTGAGAGGCGGCGGGAGGAGGGATGGAATTGGGGGAGAGGTGAGGTGAATGACGGGACAGAGCGGCCGCTAGAGTGGGGGACTACCGCGACGGACAGAACGCTGCGAGAGGGGGAGCGGTTACCGCGGCAGGCGGGATCTCGCGGCCAAACGAATGGCAGGGGTACATCACGCCTGGAACACAGAGTGCTTGGGTTACATGACCACACACATGAACTCATGTACCCATGTCACTGATCGTGGTGCAAGTGTGAGGTGAAGAGTCGTTAGGAATTGAATAAACTATCAGCCTGATCAGGGGCGCTGGGCTACTGAAGTTTGGCTACTGCTCTCTCCGACACAAACACACGTGTTATGTCCCTATTGCACTTGTGGGTGATTGGGGAATGAGGCCAGTGCTGTCTGGGTGTAGGCGGTGATTGTTCTATTTTGCTGCATTTTAGACACCCGGCCAACTAGTTACATGACCGCCGGTCTGGTTTCACGGCAGCTTTGGATATAGGTGAGCTGGTGCCGCCGCGGGTGCCGCTGAGGGTCTCTGGTGCACGCTCAGTCTGCCGTGCTGCACCAGTCTCTGCTGTCTTTGTTTTCTGTCTGCACTGATTTTCGGGCGCGGTGCGCGGTATGATAGCTTTCTCTGGGTTTTCTTGGCCAGCCCGAAGGTCAGTGGTTATACGCCTACGTTTCTTTCTTTGGTCCAAGTTTTTATGCTTCCTCTTTATGGTTCTTTTTCGCATATCTCAGTCAGCTCTGGTGCTCTGTTTTTCCGCAGCTTGGACTCTACCTCTGTCTTCCGGTCGCCAAATCTTCACCTCTGGTATCTCACTGCTCCAGCTGTCGTGGGCTATCCTCCAGCTCTATCTCTGTGCTATTTCTGCCTCTGTCTCTGGCGGTCCCACCAGTGGCGGCTCTTCCTTAGCTGGTGGTCGGTTGGGTAGCTTTAACTTCGCTTCAGCACAATTTTCCTCACGGTGCACTCTGTCGTTTTTCTCTCCCCAGCGCCACCTCCACTCGGCCGACCGGTACGGTCTTACAGGGAGACTTCTTTCTCTGACGTGGACGTCAGGAAGCTCTACTGTTACGTCGCTCATAACCCCGAATTAATTTCAGCATTGTCTTTTACTCACACCAGGCTGGACATTTGAACAATGGACTTGTTTTAGTTTTATAATTGCCATTGGTGTTTGTAACATTGGGTGTGGTTATTTGACGATGGGTTAGCCACCACATCATGTGAATTGAAGCTAACAGTTTTGGTTGTATCCTGTTGCTTATGATGGGTTACCATGAGCCTGGCTTGTCATGTTTTTTTTTTTTTTTGCAGTTTGTGCAGTTACCATGTTTGTGCCATTGACCTATAATAAGCATAGGTCAATTACATACTTATTACTTATTATTATTTTTTTTTATAAATTTAGTCCGAACCTTTTGATGGGAAGGATTCACAAGGACAGAGCCACCGCTAAGCGAAGCTTGTTGCGATGACCCTGCCCTCTACCCTCCGATCGCGTAATTCCGATTCTATGGCAGAATTTAGAGTCCAAAGTTTAACGTGCGCACAAAGCCGCGCACGGCCGGTCCCCTCGCTGACTTCGCCTGGCTACGGCCTGCCACCAACCGCAACCATACCTGTCAGGAGGCCCATAAATGTCGTCATAAAATTATAGGTTAAAATTATAGGTCAATGGTTTGTGCGAACTGGGCTATGACGCTTTTTTGGAATTAGCTTAGGGGTCTTTTTTATCGATATCTTCGCTCGAATAATCTGAAATCGATTTAACAGCTTCCATAAAATATGTGGGAGATAAATCTCTTAGTGATCGCATGTAAATGTGGTTGTGCGCATCAGCTATGCGTGCGCCGTGCAGCACTGCTGACACTCTCTCTCTCTCTCTCTCTCTCTCTCTCTCTCTCTCTCTCTCTCTCTCTCTCTCTCTCTCTCTCTCTCTCTCTCTCTCTCTCTCTCTCTCTCTCTCTCTCTCTCTCTCTCTCTCTCTCTCTCTCTCTCTCTCCCTCTCTCCGCTCTTTCTATTTATCTCCTGCTTACCTTTACCCTTTCTCTTTATCTCCTATTTACTCTCTACTCTACCCTCGGCTCTGCAGGGAGTCGACGCGGTCGGCATATAAGCCGTTCAGTGTACCGCCCCAGAGCGGTAACAAGTCGGCCACATTGCCACCTGGTAGCAGTCTGCAGAAGCACAAGTGATAGCCGAGGCCGCCAGGCGGCAGCGGCCGGTGACCAGCCCACCGCGCTGGGATCAGTGTGTGACGGCGGTCGGCTGGCGGGCCGGGAACTGCTGAGGCCTGGCCTCCAGTGGTGGACGCGTGTGCCATGCATTTTCCTATCGTGAACGAACCCTTGTGATAGCAGGAACAAGGCGTCGGTGCCGGGCCGCCGCCGCCCGGCCCCGGTCCCGCCGAACCGGTGCCTTTGAGACGGAACGAGAGAGGGCGCAGCCGGCGGGGACGAGAGCCGCCGCTGCGGAGCGCGCGAGCTCCCAGACCGTGTTGTGCATACATTCGTGTATATATAATTCGCTTATCATCAGTGTAGGCGGTTGAATGATTTTATATTTTCGCAGATTGCGGAAAGGTGTGTGTCTGTGTGTGGTGGCGCGCGGAGTGGGTGCGGTGCGGTGATTTTGTATCTGGGAGTGTACGGGGCGGGCCGCGGAGCGCCGGCCGGCGGACCGGACTGCCGGACCGACCGGCCGGCCGGATCCCGGCGCCGGCAGAGTGGCCAGCTCAACTTTATCTACTGTCTGCTTTATACACGTGACATCGTTAACAAATAAACACCTCATGCCAACTGCGGCAGCGTCTATACCGTGGAAAGTAACAGTCGTAACCGATCGCTACTCGCGGGCAACAGCGTTGTCCGAAGCCAATTCTGATCCACCAGTGTCAGTGTCCCCGGCCCTAGCACGCTAGCCCCCAGAGTATCTAGACAACCTAGCCCCTGCAGCGACCGGAGTAGCTCTGGTAGCTGAGCAGGACCCGTTAGCCGTCCATTGCCCGGTGTCAAGCTTACCGTGGGTGGGTGTGGGGGGGGGGGGCGAGTGTCCGTCCCCAGCCTAAACATCACAACTTTCAAAGGAACACGCCACACGCCGGCCTCTAGTGCAGAATATATTATTGCCAACAGTTCAGTTTGACTAGATCCAAGTATGACTGCAGCAGGGCGGCGACCGGCCAACGCCTGTTAGCGGGCCGCCGACAATAAATAACGTACGCACCTAGCGGTCAGTCCGGGGCGGTCGGCCACCGAGAGAAATGCAGCTGAGTGGTCCTCGCCGGAACACCGGCGTAACATCGACACACGGTACACCGAGGGGGGGGGGGAGAGCCGCTGTGTGTACACCACACAGAGTCGAGCCGCAGGTACACCGAACGGTACACACACGCCTCTACAGGGAAGCGCGATACGCACGGCGGGAGGTACACCGAACACGGAGAGCGGCGGGCGCGGCGCGCACACTGTACACCTGTCCCGACTCGGCGGGCGTCGTCTACACGCCCGCTAAACATCCGACACAGGGGGCGCGGCGCGGCGGCGGCCCGTATATGTATAACATTGGCCACCGTCGAACGTTAAACAGACGCCGTGTCAACAGAGGTGGGCCCGGCCGGCAGGGGAGGGTCGCGCCCAGTCGGGAGGGGAAGAGGCGCGCACGTAACTCTTCGCCCGACCGACAGTCAGACGAGCGTGAGGCTCTCGGGCCGGCTAACGCCTGGTGCAGGCGCCCGGGTCCGGCGCGACAGTAACAACCACACCGTCAGTCACACGCGTCACAGACGCATACAGGTAACGGATTGGATACAAAACGGGGGGCAGGGGACAGGGCCTCGCGCTCCCTCCCTCCCACAACATTCACAGTCAACATATACACGTCCCATTCGTAACACAGCTAAAACTCACCGGTTAAAACGGCCGCCGCGCCGCAGTGCCGCCGCTCACCCAGCCGCCCACACGTACTGGGCGCTGTCGAGGGCGGTCGAGCCGTCAGCCCGCGGCGGCCGCTGCTCGCCGCCGCCGGCCAGCAGCAGACGGCCCTCGCGCCGGTCGGCCAGCTCCAGGAAGACGCCCAGCGGCGCGCCGCCCGACAGGCGCACCACGCTGACGTGCGAGCCGGCCGGCGGCGAGCCGCCCGCCGAGCCGCTGTGCACGTAGATATTGGTGATGTTGTCCGCCGTTGTGAAGATGTTCTCTGAGCTGGCCGTCAGCGGTTCCGCAGAGAGCTCGGCACGCGACGGCGACAGCGCGCCGAACTCGAGCACGTGCAGCTCCGAGATGCAGTTGAGCGAGCGGCTGTTGGGCACGCGCGACGCGCCGGTGCGAGTGAGCCGGCCGGACGCCGACTTGGCGCGGTACTTCCTGGCGTGTCCGCCGCCGCTGCCGCCGCCGCCGTGCCCGTCGCGCTGGTCCCTCGCGCCTCCGCCGCCGCCGCTGCCTCCCCCGCCCGAGTCGGCCGGCCGGGTGACCAGGCGGCGCTGCAGACCGCGCGACAGCCGGCCCACGGGGCCGCTCTCGGCCGAGTCACTCGAGTCGTCGTGCGAGTCGCGTCGCGGCAGCTCTTTGACAAAACCGATGACGGCCTCACGCTCCCGTTTGCGTTCCTCGTCGTCCGAGGCGTCTGAGGAGGAGCAGGAGGTGGTGCGCGCCGGCCGGCCGCGGCGCCGGCTCTCCATGCGCCGCAGCAGCGCCGGCGAGGCCAGGGTGCGCGTGGCCAGCGGCGTGGGCAGCTCTTCCTCGTCCTCGTCCTCTTCCTCGTCCTCATGGATCTCCAGCAGCTGCGGCGAGCTGCGTACGGCGTGCAGCCGGCGCGGCGGGCCCGAGCCGGACGCCTTGGGCCGCGGCCCGGCCGCCAGAGACGGAGACGGCGGATTGGACGAGTGGGGGGACACCAGCCACGAGCCCGGGCTGCCTGGCGACGAGCTCAGACTCGACTGCGGCGTGTGGCCGTGCAGGCCCAGGTTGGAGGTGAGCGGGTAGGGAGCGGGGGGCACCGGGCGCGCCGCCGCAGCGCCCGGCTCCAGCGCCAGGTGCAGTTTCGGGGAGGAGGCGCGCGGCCGAGGGGGCGGCACCCGGACGGCGGCAGACGCTTGCGGGGAGTCTGACGGACCGGCGGGCCGCGGCCGACCGGGATCGCTTCCCTCGGCGCCCGCCGGCTGGAAACAGAGAGATGCCAGTCAGACGGACCGCACCCAGCAACCCAGAGCCGCCACACTGGCGCGGTGTGTCGGTACCAGCCTCAGGTGGGCTCACAAGCACTTATATTGGCGTTTTTATCGAGCAGATTTTTGTCATAGCACTATAAACGTTTCTTATTATCGATCATTGTTGAAATTACCGTTTTTCAGACATGAAATCAAACAATTTCAATACTACTAATGCGCAGACCCGATGATCAATATGGCCAGTAAACGAAGCATGCCTTCCGCTTCTATTCACCCACTCGCCCTGCCCCTCTCTCCGTCGGTGCCCGCTCTCACCTGTGGCGGCATGCTGAGCGGTCTCGGTGTCCCGCCCGCCTGTCGCGGCTCCTGTGGTGACAGAAAGTGGACGCCCGACGGCGGCCGGGCGCCCGGCGTGGTGGCCGTTGGACGGCTGGCGACACGCCGGCCGGACACGTCATAGAGGGGCCGAGCGGCGTGGCATGACACACAACACAAACTGGTACAGCATGAGGCATAGCGAGGCACAGCACACCATGGGATAGTACAGTCTGTCTTAAAAGTACCGCGCAAAGTGACGGTGGATCCATCAAGCCTGACCGAGAAAGGGCCTGCTTTAATTTGAAAGTCACCGACCAATTGACCTAGGGAATGGACGAGGATGTCCATTGCTTCGGTGATCAAAATTTAGCAGGCCCTTGCTCAGTGAGGCTCGATGGATCCACCGTCACTTTGCGCGGTACTTTTAAGACAGACTGTACAGCGCGTACCAGAGTAAATGACTGCATAACATATGCATGACGCAAACCTTCAGTTCTCAGATTACACAGCAAGCCACGGATGGTATAGAGCACAGTGGCAGACTCAGCACGACACAACACAGGACACCGGCCACAACTCAGCACTGATATGGTGCAGTTGATACTTGATAGATCCTCGTGCAGTACCGACGTTAACAGCACGGTTTTGCGAGGAAAACTTTGTACTCAGGGAGAGATTTATAGTGACCACACACTTCGCTAGGAAAGCTCTTAACTGGCCGCTGCACTAGGGAGATATAAGCTGACCTCACGGAGTCCAGCGAGGGAGATGTGAACTGTCCTGTTGAGAGAAGAGTGTGTGAAGTGACCTCACGGTATCCAGCGAGGTGATGTCCACAGATGTGAACTGTGCTCTTGAATGAGCTGTGAATTACTGACCTCACTGTGTCCAGTGGCGACAGCTGGGCGCCCTGCACCGAGCCGATGAGGTGCGCGTGGTCCCTGGCGGCCCGCAGCCGGCGCTCAGCCAACAGGAAATACGTGGCCGTTATGTAGTTGTACTCGTCCCGATCCAAAGCGCTGCGGGCAAATAGGGCGTCAACTATCGAGACCTGTGATCGTCACCGTCCAACAAGGTTAGAAAGGCAGTTGGAACAAACTATAGTCACAGGGATCAGTGGACAGCTGCAGTGATAAAGCGCTGTTACAAGGCTCCTACAGTCGAGGAAACCTATGACACCGCTGAGGGGACAGGAGTGACATCCCTGTCACGTGGCTTGGGGGACCGGTAAACGTCAGGCAGGTCGGGGGGACAGAAAACTGTCACGCGGCTCAGGGGAGAGTCGAAGCGGACGCAGAGTGCCACGCATCGGTCACAGCCCGGCGTCATATTCAGCCCTTGCACTCAGCGGTACTCACTCCAGTATCTCCTCGCGCGAGCCCAGCCCGCCGTTGGCGATTTTCTGCACGATGAGCGCGTGTTCCTCCTCACTGAGGTGCTGCCGGCTGACGAGCGGCACGTAGGCGGTCAGCGGCTCGCCCAGCTCTGCAGCGTTCAGCCACGGATCCGACTCGATCTCCTGCAGGGAGGCGCGCCGAGACGGGTCCCGCTGCAGCATCCGACCAATCAGCCTGCGGGGTGCAGAGGGGAGTGACGTCAGTCGACCAATCACACGGGTTCCGCTGCAGCATCCGGCCAATCAGCCTGCGGGGTACAGGGTAGGGTGACGTCAGTCGACCAATCACACGGGTCCCGGTGTAGCATCCGGCAATCAGCCTGCGGGGGACGGGGTAGGGTGACGTCAGTCGACCAATCACACGGGTCCCGCTGCAGCATCCGACCAATCAGCCTGCGGGGTACAGGGTAGGGTGACGTCAGTCGACCAACCACACGGGTCCCGCTGCAGCATCCGACCAATCAGCCTGCAGGGGACAGGGTAGGGTGACGTCAGTCGACCAATCACACGGGTCCCGCTGCAGCATCCGACCAATCAGCCTGCGGGGTACAGGGTAGGGTGACGTCAGTCGACCAATCACACGGGTCCCGCTGCAGCATCCGACCAATCAGCCTGCGGGGTACAGGGTAGGGTGACGTCAGTCGACCAATCACACGGGTCCCGCTGCAGCATCCGACCAATCAGCCTGCGGGGTACAGGGTAGGGTGACGTCAGTCGACCAATCACACGGGTCCCGCTGCAGCATCCGACCAATCAGCCTGCAGGGGACAGGGTAGGGTGACGTCAGTCGACCAATCACACGGGTCCCGCTGCAGCATCCGACCAATCAGCCTGCAGGGTGCAGAGGGGAGTGACGTCAGTCGACCAATCACACGGGTCCCGCTGTAGCATCCGGCAATCAGCCTGCGGGGGACGGGGTAGGGTGACGTCAGTCGACCAACCACACGGCGAAGCTGCATCAAGTGGGCCTCGTTTCATAAAGCGAGTCCGTAACTTACGCCGGTTTTTGGGCTTGTATTGCAAGTGCATGTGAAGTGATAAATTTATTTCCCCTTTTCCCTTCTGTTCTTGCTTGCAAGATAAATAAACTCAACGATTCAAATTATCGTCATCGCTTCACATGCACTTGCAATACAAGACCAAAAACCGGCGTAAGTTACGGACTCGCTTTATGAAACGAGGCCCAGGACAACTATTTAAAAATAAGTGTCAAAAGTAATAGGTGAAATGACTACGATGGCCATACCGATAAACAGGACACAAATGAGGGTTGATGTTTCCCATTTGGGTCCCCGAGTATCAGGATTCCCGCGTTTATCATAATTCAGATGCGCGTACGGGCGCTGTCGGTCCCCTGCGTTGAGCACTCGCCTGCGGCATCCCTCAGAGACGGTGTCAGGCACCCGGTACTTGCAGTCCATAATCATGGTCAGCGTCTCACTGTCGTTGGCCTCTTGGAACGGCGGGTAGCCGCTCACCAGCATGTAGAGCACGGCGCCGAGCGACCACACGTCTGACGGACGGGGGAGGGGAGGGAGGTCACGGATCGGACCGAGCAGGCAGCAAAATCAGCCGGAGGTCCGGGAGCACCGGCAATAGCTCCGCAAACATTACCTATGCGACAACTATTTAAATGCAGTGTTATTATGGTCAAAATTCGTAAAGCTGTATAATATTAAGCTCGTCACGTACTCCAGAGACGAGCAAAAAAGCCGACTTTTCAGTGGGAGCGAAAAGGCATGATATATGACTCGAAAAGTGGAAGAGGAGAGCCATGGCAACATAGTCCTACAAGTCCTGCAGCGGACTCCATTGAAGAGCTCGCTAATCAGAGAGCGATGCTGTACGCGCCACCTACCGACTGAGGTGGGGTCGTACGAGTCGCCGAGCAGGATCTCCGGCGCACTATAAGCCAGACTCCCACACGACGTCTCCAGCTTCTGGCCCGGCAGGAACTTGTTGCTGAAGCCAAAGTCCGTCAGCTTCACCACGCCGAGTTTCTCGAAGAAGACGACGTTCTCCGGTTTGAGGTCGCGGTGCACTACGTGCAGTTTGTGACAGTAGGAGATGGCCTGCACGATCTGACGGAAGTACTTGCGTCCCAGGCGCTCGTTCAGGCCAGTCTCGTGTTTCATGATGTAGTCGTACATGTCTCCGCCGTCGGCCAGCTCCAGGATCAAGTACAGCTTGGTCTGCGTGTCAATCACCTGGAAAAACATCAGCAGTTAATGGATGTTTACGGTGAATTGCATCAGCAATTAATGAATGTTTACGTTGAGTTGCAATTCAGGATGCTCAGATTACAGCAGTGAGCCATAGGCAGCACTCGAACAGATAAGTATTATCGTGACCTATCTAGTCAGAACGAAGTGGCGGTCCTTGACCTTGCGCACGCGTTTTGTTGTCAGATAACGTTTGCGAGTGGAAATACGATGTGAAACTGGACGTCAGCCAGGACCTGCAAACCGTTTCGAATTTGGCTAATCATCACCTAAACGTTCTCCGTGCATACGCATCCGGATCCAAAGTTGTCTCTCAAACGGCTACGAGGCTTGCACACGGTCGGAATACAGCTTTGACCTGACTGTCAGGCGCTGTGCTGTCTGATAACCTCCACATATTTAATCAGTAACTACAATACCGGTGAACAGGCAGGTTGTGGCACCGTAGGTCACCGCCCCACCCTCACCCACCACCAGCCCCCCACCCCCCACCCACCCACCGTAGACCAACAACGCCCCCCACCCCCCACCACCACCACCACCACCGGAGGGCCACCAGCCACCCCCACCGTAGACGACCAGCCGACCCCCGGTGCCGTTTGGCTGATAATGAATAGGCGATGGAGCACTTATCGGCCTCGTCCGGCCGACACATTGCGCCGGTGTACCCCGGCCGGCTCCACCCGCATACGTCCGCGGTCCGAGATTTGTGTGTGAACCGGGTCCGCGATTAGAGCTTGGTTATGCCAAACTTTCGGTTTATGTCAAAAATAGGAATAAGTTCTGTTTAATGCCAGGAAGAGAAAAGAAATGTAAAACGATAACGAAGTGCTAAAAATAGATCAACCAGAACAAAGCAGTCAATCCACACATAAACGATATTTCACGTAGATATTTTATCCCCAGCTAGACTCCACAGATATTTGGCCGGACGGACGCCTATCCGCCAGGCGCCAGACCAGTCCCACTCACCTCATAGAGTCGCACGATGTGCGGGTGCTGCACCAGCTTCATGCAGCGCACCTCCTGGAACAGGTGCTCGCGCGACACCGGGTCCAGCTTGGTCTTATCGATCACCTTGACGGCCACGCGCTCGCCGGTGAACACGTGGCGCGCCAGCCGCACCACGGCGTAGTGGCCCTTGCCGATGGTGTGCTCCAGGTCGTATAGACCGGCGATCTTGCCCACGTCTTTGCCGCGGAAACTCATGGTGCGTCACTGAAACGGGACAGTCGTCATGCGCCGTCCCAGTGCCGCAATATGGGGGAACCGAGGGACTGACACTGCAGAGACTGTGGGCCAAAGGACTAATACTACAGACTGCGAGCCGAACGTCTAATACTTCAGATACTGGCTGCCGAACGTCTAATACTACAGACTGCGGGCCGAGCGTCTAATACCACCGAGACTACGGGACCAACGTCTGCAGTTTTCAAATTCTTTGTCTAAACTTTTGCGAGCATCTTAGCCCTCGCACTCACGAGCATAAGGAAGGTAGGCTGAACCCGCTCCCTTGGGTTTTTCACCAATAAATCGCGGAAAAGCGTCGAATGGCGACGAAGCTTTCAGTACCGTCGTGTTGATCAATATTTGTTCTGACCATAAAGTTTCATGATCCTGCACCAACAAAATTTAAACTGTGACTCCTTTTCTGAGCCCATGTCAAGCCTCAAAGAAGAGGTCACAGAATGGCAATTCAATCTAAGTCAACACCAGCTACTTGTGAATTTCCATAATTTTTTTGTGTGAATATAAATGTACCAACATGTGAAGTTATGATTGTCCAATGGATTATGGTGGGTGCCAATGCTGTGAAAAGGGGTGGGGGTTAGAATGGCCACACTGGTTACCATAAACTGACAGGCCTTGACCTTGGTTGAAGGTCAATACCGGACTAGAAAAAGGTCATGTTGTTGATGTGAATTGTTGAACTGTATACACTGAAGGTTTGTGATCAGTCACTATAGCCAGGAATGTAAGCTATGGGTTGCTGCAAAAAAAAAAAAACTGGTGGCCCTCCCTTCCCATGACTTAACATGTCTTTAGGATGCAATTTTGGAATTCAGCATTCAATTGCTGTGTTTGAGTTTATGTATATGACTTTACTATAAAAAAGTTTCAGCTGCACCTTCTAACATTGACATATAATGGAAAGATCACAAACTTACCTGGCTTAGATCACTAACATAAAAATCTTAGACTTATTGACACACAAACATCCTTTCACCTTCATTGATCACTGAAAGCTTCAAAGCAATAGTTCAGTGTATCATCTTAGATTCAACTTATTTCTTGAGGTGAGCTGTGAGGAACTTGGGATGACATACTGAGCTGGCATAAATGATCGGGGACTAGGGTTCTCACGACTCACAGTTTCACAAAAAATGCAAAAAATCAAAATAGAATGTGGAAATATGAGAACAATTTTCAGTTTTCAGTTTATTTGTATAATAAACCTGAGGGGCATCAAAATGTCAGAGTTAAGGCTTATTACAGTTATTAATGGGTAGACACCTAACCTAAATAAGAGGGTAGGTAATAGGTATGTTATGTGTCAGTGTGACTACTAACTGATATAGGATATTCATTGACATAATTGCTCATGTCCAAAACAAACCTGCCAGCAAATTCCCCAGTCTTGATTTAATTAAAAAACTTGTGAAACATAAGTGAAGGGTGGCACCCTCTGGACATTATGACACATTCGCTTTTTACCGGCTTTGTGAAAATGTGACTGACATTGACTGGACTTGGACTTGATGTAATGCTTAATCACATTAGCTTCACACCAACACCTGATTCAGGTTAGACAATTGACAAACTGGTTACAACAAAACATTTTACAAGCAAGAAGGCTTCGCAGGCTTCGCACCAGGAGCAGAGTTGACAACCTGCTAAACGAACGGGGAAACCTGACATCATGTGACCAAGACAAAGCTGACATGTTGGGCAAGTACTTCAGCAGCATCTTTACCCATGAAGATACTGAAGCACCGGATACGGACCTTGATTGGCAGGGCCCCTTCCTCGATAATGTTGAAGTATCTCCCCAGAAAGTGGAAGGAAAGCTGCTGTCCCTCAAGACAACCAGCGCGCCGGGGCCTGACGCGATACACCCCCGAACCCTTCGCGAGTCAGCACTGGCCCTCTCCTCCCCTCTGAGCATACTGTTCCGCAAGTCCTTGGACACTGGGTCGCTTCCCTCGGACTGGAGGACAGGCGAGATCACCCCGATCTTCAAGAAGGGTGACCGCCAACGCCCCTCGAGCTATCGTCCAATCACTCTGACTGCCATCCCTGTCAAAGTCCTCGAATCAATTGTCCGAGACGCCCTCCTCCAACATTTCCGCGAAAACGGTCTGCTCTCCAGCGCCCAGCACGGCTTCCTCCCAAAGAGGTCGTGTACGACACAACTGATGGAGGCAATCGAGGACTGGAGCACCGCCATCGAAAACGGAGACAACATCGACATCATCTACCTGGACTTCGCCAAGGCGTTCGACTCTGTGCCGCACCAACGTTTGATCCGCAAGCTGTTTGCATACGGCGTCCGGGGCCCGCTTCTCAACTGGATCGCAGCCTTTCTGATCGATCGCCGACAGAGGGTTGTGGTCCACGGATGCAAGTCCTCATGGGCCCCTGTGACCAGTGGTATTCCACAGGGATCGGTTCTCGGACCTGTACTGTTCACAATATTTGTCAACGATCTTCCCTCGGAGGTCACTGGTTCGGTCAAACTGTTCGCCGACGACACGAAACTATACCGCCGCGTCCTGGGTAGCAGCAATGACCTCCAGACTGACATCGATGCGCTCGTCCGCTGGTCTGAGAAGTGGCTGCTCCCTTTCAATGCCCAAAAGTGCAAGGCGATGCACCTCGGCCACCGGAACCCGGAACACGCGTACTATTTGAACGGCATCCTGATCCAGAACGCTGAAGAGGAGAAAGACCTCGGCATCGAAATTGACAACCAACTCAGTTTTCACAAGCAGACCGCGTCAGCCGTCGCTAAAGCCTCACAGATTCTGGCCGTCGTGAGACGCTCATTCGCCAACATTGACGAACACACGCTGCCGCTTCTCTACAAGACCATGGTTCGGCCCCTCCTAGAATATGGGAACACAATCTGGGGACCTTTTGGGAAAGAGGACCAGAAGAGGCTTGAACGCGTGCAACGTCGTGCAACAAGAATGGTCGCACAAATCAAGCACCTCCCGTACCCTGAACGACTCCGTCGACTGGGACTACCATCACTCTACTACCGGAGGCGCAGAGGCGACATGGTGACCGTATATCAGCTGCTGCACGGAGGGTTGGCCATATCGCCAGAAAGCTTCTTGACCCGGAGCAACTCAGCTCGAACCAGGGGCCACGAGTGGAAGCTCGAGAAACCGAGGGCCACCAAACTCGTGCGCAGAAACGCGTTCAGCTTCAGGGTCATCAACGACTGGAACTCCCTACCAAGTGCGGTGGTCACGGCACAGTCCGTCAACCAGTTCAAGGCCCAGCTGGACAAGCACTGGGGTGGCATCATGTACGACACCCCCTATCCCTGAGAGCCTAGCCTGTATCCCGACACGAGCTCGATGAGAGCGGGATCCCCAGGCCAAGTGGCCTTTTCAATCCCGATCACCACGAAGGTAAGGTAAGGTAAGGTAAGGTAAGAAGTAATGGCCATAGTACCATTGCATTGTGGTAACCAAACTGGATTACGAACCCACAAGTGATCCTTTACGTGGTATTCCAAACACAAGGCACATCATTCGCGATATGACCGGCGTACAGCCTGATTAATAAGGAATCACTTTGATGAGAAAGCAAGCAATAAGCCTACCTGTTGTTCGATGTTCCACGCCTTAGTGGGAACCATGGGAATCGGAGGCACCCAGAGGCCAGAGAAGTTAAACTTCAGCTGCCAATTTGATGCAGTTTATTGCTTCTTTATTTACTTATCCAATCCATGCACTAATCGCCCCATTTGAATACTTGTTTATAGACAGTTACGCCCATACCCACCTATGTATAGTATGATCGCTCCATCCACTCGGACCTCTCTTATTGAAAAACACACCGAGTGAGTGAGGAGGAAATTACGGTAAAAACTTGACAAAGTTGAGGATATTTCAAGTCTTCAGAGGAAATCGTAAATTAATGACGTCATTGATCTTATTTAATTTTGAATTTTCAAAGTGAAAATTATTTTCAAAACATTGTTTTCAGGTTACAAAATTGCATGAGATCAATTTTTACTTATTGTAAAAACTATCTTTTTACTGCTGCGAATAATAACTATCGAGCAATAAATTTCATTTGCTTCGCTCATTTGCTGCCGAACGGTGACATCATTAGACCAAAACCCACTTGAAGCGAGGACTTTTGACGTCTTCTCACTCGAGGCGTTTGCTGGCGCACTAATCGTCTCTCTCCGCGTGTCGCGTTGTCAGTGGTGTTGGTCCGAGAGCCACTTTTTCTATTTTAGCGTTTTTTTTAGGTTGTATGTTTGCATTTCTGCAAAGAAATAGCATCCTTTTCTTGGTGAGTACAATTTATACTCTCAGCATATCCAAGATACACAAGCCTTTAAAGTTATTGTTACCTACTAACTAGTCTAGTTTTCACCAAGCCGCATCATGTCAATGTAGAATTTCGACAAATCATGCAAATATTTGTCAGCAAACTCCTTTCATTCCTAGTCATTTTGACCGGCATTCATGGAGTTAAAGTAACGTAATTAAATTAGCCTCTTCCTTCGAACCTAAACCTCAGGCTACGCTAGCATTTGGTTTCCGCATATATCAGTTGGGGAAACTACGAGGCGAATGTCAAAAAATGGATTGGTCAATAAATGGACTTTTGATGACCATATATGGACATAAATGCAGCCCCCGCTACTAAGGGTGAAAAACGGTATAACAAGCTGGTACTTGCGGTATCGCGTCCACTTATTGGAGAGAAAAGGCTTCCATTTTCCACGAGGAATTAGCGTGATTTGATTAAATTCGGCGAATTGACTCGAAAATAGCCATAGGAAAACAGCTTTTTCGCAGGTTCTGGGAGTCACAATCATCTGGCCATTTAATAAATGGATTGGTTTTATGAAAGAAAATTGTTAGAAGATTTAATTTAATTACACTAAACAAAGATAGGTAGGTATTTAATTTTAAAATGATTAGAAAAACCATAAACAAAATCATAAAAATAATGACATTTTTAAACCATGGTACTGCTTACATTTTTTGGCGCGTCTGTTTCAATCCGCCATATTTGCCAATCACGGTTTGACCTTGCGTTGTAACTCTGCGATTTATAGCCGCCAGTTAATTATGCACCGGGTGAGTGTAGGTCTTGTGTGGTTAAAAACATTCTTATGCCTTATTTTTTCATTTGAATGCAAAAATTCATTGAAAAGATGAAGTTGTCTGATTTTATGACCATATATGGTCCTCGCCCCGCCCACTCCAGCCGCTGATTGGCTAATCCAATTTTTGTTTGGCTCCTCGTAGTTTCCCCAACCCCAACTGATATTGTCAATTTGTTTTTGTTATGTGTGGTATCAACCTTCCTCCATTTTTATTAATATGATATGGCCAATTGATGAATGTTTGAAAATATTTTCACTTTGAATAAGTGTGTAACTTATAAACATGCAAAACTAACTGATGGCAGCAATAACAGCTGTGAGCTGATGGCTGACAAAATCACAATACTCACCTGATGATTTATTGATGCACTCACATGGTGGCTCACAAGACAACATTGTTATTTCAAATGTCAAGTGGTGTGACAGGGTGATGTGACAACTGACACTTCCACCGCTGGATCAGCATTGATTCAAATTCTGCAAAGAAAAACTGTCTTCAGCTCCTAGGGAGACCTGGAAGTGGAGCATTTTCATGCGCCAATGGGCCACCAGTGCCGCGGACCGAAGGCTGCTCATCATGCACTCAATGCAGCGGCTGCCGATGGTGACCGCCTCTCCCGGTCCTGCCCCGTGTGCCCGCAGTCGGTGACTCGCCGGCCGCTCCGTCCGTGCGCGGTGCCCGCCCGAGCAATGGCCGCCCCCGGACAGCAGCCGCCGGCCGGGGTGCGCGGCATGACACGGCTCGATCGGACTGCCTTCCAGCGGCCGCTGGACGTGTGCGCGCTCCGCCTGCCCGCGGCCGACATCGCGCCCATCCTGAAGCTGCTCAAGACGCAGATGCTGCGCGTGCCACACTTGCGTCCGGTCCAGCCGCTCGGCGAGCTGCCGCTGATGGAGTCCTCCGGCGGCGGGGAGCCGGGTGCGGACGCGCCGGCTGCCGACGGCCCGGACCAGAAGGTGGTGTTGCTGGACCCGGAGCGTGTGCCGGACGCCGGCGGGCTGCCGTGGTCAGGTCTGGAGCCGCTGGGACTGAGCGCCGCGGATAGTCCGCTCCGGCTGACTCTGAGACTGGCCTACGATAATTACCGCGCAGACGCGGTGCTGCGCGCCGTGCTGCCCGACGGCCAGGACGGCTGCACCAGCTTCTCCCGGGTCGGCCACCTGATCCACCTGAACCTGAAGGAGCACCTGCTGCCCTACGGGGAGCTCATCGGACAGGTGCTCATGGACAAGCACCCGGGCGTCCGCACCGTGGTCAACAAGCTCAACACCATCGACAACACGTTCCGCAACTTCAGCATGCAGCTGCTAGCCGGCGAGGCCGACTATCTGGTGGAGGCGCGCGAGAACGGCTGCTCGTTCCGGATGGACTTCTCCAAGGTGTACTGGAACCCGCGGCTGTGCACCGAGCACGAGCGGTTGGTGTCGCAGCTGCAGCCCGAGGACACGCTGTACGACGCGTGCGCCGGCGTGGGACCGTTCACCGTGCCGGCCGCCCGCAAACGGTGCCGCGTCCTCGCCAACGACCTCAACCCGGAGTCGTTCCACTGGCTGCAGCACAACGTGACCGCCAACAAGGTCCAGGACCGGGTGCAGACGTTCAACATGGACGGCCGGGAGTTCATTCGGACGGAGGTGCGGCGCGGCCTGCGCGAGCGGCTGGCGGCGCCGGCCGCCGCCGGCCGGCTGCACGTCGTACTCAACCTGCCCGCGCTGGCCATTCAGTTCGTAGACGCGTTCGTGGGCCTGCTGTCACCAGACGAGGTGCCGGCCGACCAGGTCGTGCCACTGCGCGCGCACGTCTACACCTTCACCAAGGAGCTGTCGGCGGCCGAGCGCAGCGTCACAGAGGCGCTCTGTACCAATGTCGGCAGAGACGTCAGCCGCCACTTGCGCGAGGTGTTCCTGGTACGCAACGTGGCGCCCAATAAGCTGATGTACCGAGTGACCTGGGACGTGCCCGCGGAGGTGCTGTGCGCCATGGACGACGGACCCGTCCTCAAAAAGGCCAAACTGACGGAGCCCTGACCGCGTGTTACTGGATGGACATTTGACACCTTTGTTAGTGCCGGCTCAGCGCAAGGATCGCTGACAACGAACGTCCCGCGCAATGTGTTGTCTGTTGACGTCTGTCTGAGAACCAAACACTGGTGTGTCTTTCGAATTGTTGGGCCTACTATGGGATCGGCTACTTGCCCCAGAAATTCAAATTTAACGCTGCAGTGCCAGTTTTACGTTTTTGCTAGCTTATTGTTTTATATTGGTACTGCAAAGCAAATGCTTACGGCGATGTTCCGAGCAAAGTCAGCTTATGCTGAAAGGGTGACATGCTTCATTTGGTGTGCGTTGTTTGGAGCCGCTATTTTCATAGCAAATTCATTCACTTGACGTAAATACACTTTTTGTACCGTGGCCTTACTCTGTGCCGGGGGTAATCGAAAATTGAATAAAAAAAAAAAAATAATGTCGATGACTGGCTATCCAATCGCAAGTACCTTTCAGCTTCTTGATCAATTTGCTGGTGACGGGGGTGGCGTAGAAACGTGGCCGTCGTCTTCTTTCCTTGTCGTAATTTTCCTGTTAAAATTTCAGGATTAGGTGAAACCACTGTTGATCAGTTGATGTCAGTGGCTGAGCCTGAATAAACCCTCGAGCGCAGATATGTCTGCGAAGATAAAGTGTAACATTTACGGATCCGTGTCATGAATGCAAACGAATGAAAATAAAAACGCGATTGAACATCTCTCGCTAATTAGTTCCGCATTTTATCAGAAAGTGTATTGATCAAAATAAGATAAGGTACCGTACTTAGACCATCTCAGCAGCAGATCTTTTGTTGTCTGGTGCTACTGCATGATCATAACTCATCCTTTTATCAATCTCGTGCCATTTTTTACTAACCAGCCCAGCAGCACTGACCATTTTCTGTCCATTTTCACAGCGCGCTGGAATGCTCTCCGTATAATGGGAAAACGCAAACGTAACTCCGTGAACCCGTTCAAAAAGGACAAGGATCGGCCGGGCAAGAAGGGTAACCCGATATACCGGGTGGCCGGCGCCGGACTCAAGGCCCGTGCGGGCTCCAAAAAGGAGGTGAGTGAGACGGCGAGCAGCGATCAGCCTGCTGAGTCGGTCTGGAGCGTAACTAACCCAAAACGATATCAATGTATGTTGTTTCCAGTAGTTTGACCGCGGTTGGGTTCCCATTCAAATTCTGGCCGACCTAGCTGTTTTTGGTGTAAACCTGTGTCGCACCTGAGCTCAGGCCTACCGTGCATTTGTCGGGCCTCGGTTAGTGTTATGTCGCGCCCATGGATCTAAAATTATTCATGTCCGTTGCTCAGTTCTATGATACCGGCTCTCCGTGTATGACGTTAGTTCTCTGTTGCTTTGATCGCTACCAACATGCCAATATGCCATATTCCTATCACTTATGTGACCCATGTACTAATTTGCCGCTCCATGAATCGCCATCGTCAAACGTAATGAAAAGGTTCTGCTATGTTTTCACGTTCATTTAACTTCATGCTGGTTTATATTCACACTGACTCCCTTTCTCCGAATCACGGGTTCAAATATCAACATTTTTGCCTTCTCGAACTGCCGTTTCTGCGATCAGACGCCTTATCGCGCCTGTTCGCCGTAGCTCTGTAGTGACGGTGCTATGTGCGTGTTTCGCCAGGTGAACTTACAGAACCGCTCGCTGGTGGAGGCCCTCGACCAGCAGCTGGGCGAGCAGCAGCAGCAGGCGGCTCTGAAACCCACCCAGAAGAAGCCGCCACCGCCCGCCGAGACCGCCGACCCACCGGCGCCGGCGCCAGACTCCGAACCGTCGGTTGACGAGTGTGTGGCCAAGCTGTCGCACTCGCTTCAACAGGCGTAACCATGGAGAACGACCTGCTCGACTGCCTGGAGGAGCTGCAGTACTCCGGCGCGTGCCGGGAGGCGGGCGCGCTGTCGGCGGCGGTCTCTGAGGGCCCGCAGTCGGCCGAGTTTCGCCGGCTGGTCTGCTGGCTGACGGACCAGCTGGTGACTCTGTGTGGCCTGGAGGAGACCGTCCCAGCGGACCTGGACGCCGATGAGTTTCAGATGGAGCTCAGCGGCGTGCTGCGCGAGCTGCACTGCCCGCACGCGGTGCTGCTGGACGGACCGACGCAGCAGCGGCTGGCCAGCCGGCCGGCCCGTCTGCTGCTGCTCGACTTCCTCTGTGGCGAGCTCCAGGCGGCCCGTATGCTGGCGGTGGACGGGCCGGCGGTCGGCGGAACCGCGGCGCCGGCCGAGACGGCCACCGCTGCCGCCCTCAAGAAGACGCTACTCGCCCTCAACTTCCCCAAGCCCCCGGCGCAGATCACAGCCGGCCAGCTGTTTGCCAAGGTGGCCCAGAAGCTGGAGGCGACAGCACGCGCGGCGCCCGCCGACCTCCTCTGCAAGCCGCTCTGGACGGGAGAGCTGAGCGCCGACCAGTGGCGCCGGCTGGAGGCCGCGCTCACCGAGCTCCATCACGAGTATCGGCTGCGGCGCGAGATGCTGCTGAAGCGGCTGGACGTGACGGTGCAGAGTTTCCGCTGGTCGCCGCGCGCCCAGCAGCGCCAGGAACAGGTGCTGGCCGCCTTCGGGTCGCGGCGCGCAGCGCTCTCGCGAGAGCCGGCCGTGCGGCTGGCGCACCTGCTGGCGGCGCGCACCGACCTGGCCGTGGAGGAGCGCACGTGCAGCAGCCAGGTGCGCCGCAACACGCGCACCGGTCTGAACCGTGTGGTGATCGGCCCGGTGCCCGACCGCGGCGGCCGGCCCAGCGAGCAGCGCGCCCCGCCGCCAGAGATGCCCAGCTGGAAGGCCCGGGAGGCGGGCCCGCCGCAGGGTGGGGGCGGCGGTGGATACCGTGGCGGCGGCCGCGGCGGGGCCGGCGATGGACGCGGCGGCAGCCGGGCCGGAGGAGAGTTCCGCGGAGGCCGAGGCAGGGGGCGCGGCGGGCGGGTGCAGGGCGCCGGCTGGACCCGCGGCGGCGGACGGGGCTACCAGGGTGGTAGGGGCTGAACGAAACTCCCACACCGGCTTAGGTAGCCTCGGAAACATCTCACGGACATCCTGGACGGCTCAGCTAATCGGACTTATACCCAGTAAGATAAACACGATCTTATGCCTTGTTTCGTTTGTTAATACATTGCGGTGTAAAGAAGTGGGATGTTTGACATGCCTCCATTTGATATGCACTGCCGCCATAATAGCGAGCAAAAGCGAATAGTTAAAACGCTGGCTGGGTAGTAGATTACCCCCCCCCCCCCCAGCACTCCCTGCACCTGGCTGCTACGGGGTGCGCTCCCTCGGGAGCAGCGGTGCCGCTCCAAGGGAGCAGCCCGCATGAGAGAAAGGTGCCTGTCCAGCCCGGGGTGGGGGTTGGGGCGTGGAGGAGAAGGATTTCAGCATCCTGATGTCTGATGATCGAAACGACAGACGGGAGGGACAAAACTGTGAGCTGCCTCCCTATATGTCCATTTTGTCCAATGTTATGACATCGGTTATGACCGCTATGACCTCACGTACAAACTTGGGGCTCCATATAAAAGACGAGTAGCCTGGTCACGTGGTAAGACGGCAGCGTTTTGATCTGTTATTCAAGACAGGTCACGTGACTCTTTAGCTAGCATTGGATCTTTGCGGCGAATCTAGCGCGATCATTTCCCCCCCCCCCCCCCCACCCCCTCCTCGCTACTCTGTGTGGTTGTTAGACACGACTTCTTGTTGTTTTTCCTTAGTATTTGGTTATTCTTTCAGCCCAAGGTACAGCCAAGTCCTAGCTGACTAACGCTAGCAATCAGGGTTTATCAGCAATCAGCATCCACCCAATTAAAACTAGACAGCTGAAGAAGGTAAGTGGAAACTGGAAGGGAAAGTTCAGTTTTAATTTCCCACATTTATTTTTGATGAAGTTCAAATTAATTAAAAAATGTTTTTTTTTAGAGCTGAATGTAAAAAGAAAAAATTAAAAACTTAATTTGTTTTACACTGCCATGCCAATAGGGTTTATTGCAAGACTATAGCTTTTCCTGAGATATACCTACTGTAAAAGTGTGAATGTTACCTCATGACAAAACATTAATTTCATTAAATTATATGTAGGGCATTGTATCAAAATAATCAGTCGGGGAAACTGTGGTCAAATCTTCCATTTTTAGAAAGCCTTCCATTTTTGGAAGGATTTTCTATATATGGGTACGCACCTTCCAAAAATGGGTACGCTGACGACGTCATCGTACCCAAATATAGAAAATGTTGCGCATATGTTGGAACTTACCGATTTCCGCCGAACATGAGGCAAATGCGACTATCGCCCCTGGTCGCTTTCTATTCGCCATAGTGAAGTGTCCATAATCTAGCGTGGATGCCTAAATCCTAGCGTGGATGTATTTTAGGTAATTTTTCAAAGTAATGAGTCGTGGAAAATTGACAAAAATTTACCGACAAACGATGGTTTTATAAGACTTTATCAAACATTTTGTAAGCAAAAAGCATCAAAAACGAAAAGTAAATATCCTTAAAAGTACTTTAGTGACGGGCCATGCTTGTTCGATACCGCCGACTTTATTTACAGTGCGGAATTGTCTGGACAGAGTGCGGCGGTTTCGGGAGTGTAGTGGCGAGTAAAACTTGTATTTGTTGCCGTTTTCTGCATTTATTAGCATATTGTGTGGTTGATTTCAATTTTTTAAGGCTTTTGCCAAACATTTGGGTGGAGGTCTCGTCATTTTTCAATGTTTTTTCCGGAATATGGGACGAATTAAATAGGCGTTGCTGCGCCGTTTTTCGTGTTACTTTCTATCGAAGGAGCATGAATCTTCAATTTATATGAGGAATAGTAAGTTTAATTTAAACCATTTTTTGTCAGGGCTATAGCTGTGTTCCTCCTGGTTGGTTATTGACCAGCTGTTTTCTCTTCTGAATTTCTATGTGTCCTCTAGAAGTAGAAAAAGAGAGCAGTGCGCCAGGACACCATGCTATTATATCACTATGTACATTGACATAGCATGCCTGTATTACCAACACTAGCACTGCTGCTTCTCCTTATATCAATGATCATAAATGGCAAAATCAACTATTAATGTTACACATTTAAAAAGGCCGTAACTTAAATCAAAGAATGTGAATCACAGTTGGGAACACTGAGATTAGACCTTCCAATTTTGGAAGCCTTCCATTTTTGGAAAATGCATACCCATTTATGGAAGGTCCTTCCAAAAATGGAAGGCTTCCAAAAATAGAAGATTTGACCACAGTTTCCCCCACTGTAATGGCAGAATGCCTTAACTATAGAGACTCAGCTAAAACCCTGGGTCCTGTTCATGAACTCTGGCGGTCGCTGCGGTCAGCCGGGTTGTTACGTCACGAAAAGGGGCGGGGCTCATGTAGTATGACGA